AGATGAGACAGTCAGTCTGATGATTGGAAACATTATAGAATAGAAAAAGGGAGGTTAAAAGTGTTGTGATAAATATTTAAATAATTTAAAAATGTTGTATTCTTTTAATTTTTAATAATGGAGATTGGTGTTTTTCTTATCAGAATATTTAATTAATTTCAGAATATCAGCTTGCGCAAGACGGTTAATTGTCCCCTACTCCTTTAAGAGAATGAGAGAATTACACTAATTGTCCATCGTCTCTCTTGTTATTGCATTCTCTCTCTTTAATTATTGATTTTTTTCTCTGACCATTGCTTAGACAAGCAAAATCGTGTAGTGGTTAGAGAAGTCAAATTTTATTTTTCCTCACTTACCGTGGAAAAAAATAAATCTGACTTCTCTGACCACTACACGATTTTGATGTCTAAGCAATGGTCAAAGAAAAAAATCAATAAAAGAAGAGGGATAATTGAAAAACATGGGAGACGTTGTTTGCTTTGTTTCTTTTAATAGAGAAAGATTATTGATTTGTTTGCGTCTCTTGTTCATTCAATAACATTTCTTTTTGTTTACTACTTTGAAAAACATTTTTGTGGACAGAGTCCAAATTTATTTTTTTTTCTAAAAACGATTTTTAGTCAACAAACAATTTAGAATTGATGAAAAATTATTTCATCAAAATTCTTCAACAACAACAACAATTCATTTCTCCATTAAAACAACAATGGAAAGGATTCTTGTCTTCAACTTCTTCAAATGTCAACAAAAATTGTTTAAAAACACCTTCACCGGCTCGAAGGTTGAGACAATCTGTTATTTGTGAAAATGTTGGGACTTTGTTGCTGATGACTTCAGGTTTTTTTTATTTTTATGGTCCCTTCTTTCTTTAGTAGTGCCGAGAAAAATTTTCGATTATTGGTTTGGTCCTCCGTTGAGTTCGAACCTCCTTTCTTAATAAGTGAGCTTAACGCTCTACCAGTTACGCCATGGGTGAAAAAGGTCCCAAATTTTTATTCAACTAATTAATTTGCCTCATGTTTATTTTTCTTTTTTAGAACTGATGAATGACCGATGATGATGGTGGTCTTCTACACTGTTGGCTTGTATTTGGCACAATTTCAGTTGCCCTTCACTCCCCTCCCCCTCTCCCTTCCCTGTTTGTGGACAAAACTTGCTGTGTCTTAATACAACAACATTCCTTATATTTTTTCATTCAGTGCTTTGTATGCGTTGCAACCAAAGAAGCTGCTGCATCTGGACTTCGTCAATCTGGTTTTGTTTTAAAACGTTAGTTTGAGTTTTTTTTAACCTTAGAAATGAAATCATATTTTTAGCAGTAGAGGCGGATGTGGAGCTCTCTTCTCCAACATCAAAAGCACAAGTCCCCTTTAGCATTTTGCGTGCGTCCTTTAGGCGTGTTGCGTGGGTTTTAGTTTCGTGGAGGAATGTTCCGGCAATGTGCGGGGGAATACCATGCATCTGTGCGAAAGAATTGTGACAATGTGCGAACGTTCCGTCAGATGTTCGGGGGAATGTTCTAGCATTTGCTTCGGCATCTGTAGGAGTTCTTCTGGCATTTGTTTGGAGTCTGGCTTTGTTGCAGTTCTAACGGCAATGTATGATATTCTTCTGGCAGTGTTTGGAGTTCTTCATCTGTTTATGTGGGGGAATGTTCCGGCTAATGTGCGGGGGAATAACCCAGCAACTGTGCGAAAGAATTGCGACAATGTGCGAACGTTCCGTCAGATGTTCGGGGGAATGTTCTAGCATTTGCTTCGGCATCTGTAGGAGTTCTTCTGGCATTTGTTTGGAGTCTGGCTTTGTTTCAGTTCTAACGGCTGTTGTATGGAATTCTCCTGGCATCTGTTTGGAGTTCTTCCTTCTGTGTGGGGTCGCGCGGTCTGTTTGGCATTCTCATGGGACTTGTTGCTTCTATGGTACTTTGATAACTGCTCATCAGCTTTATGGTTAGTTTATAACTCTGCCTAAACAAACTCATTTAACTTATTTAGTGCCATGCCTCTAAGAATTGTCCAGCAGCAACAAACAAAGAAGAAATCAGCAAAAAGAAGAAGAAACTCAAAAATCAACAAAAAGAAGAACAACAAGCGAAAGAAGCGAAAAAAAATCATCAAAGCACTTTGGACGTCCATGGAATCTTCTTAAAAATTTAAAGGTTTGTTTTTTGTTCTTTTTTACACAAGCAAGTTTTGTCCGCAAAAAATCCCTAAGTTAATCCTTTATCAATTCTCTTTATCAAATTTGATTACAAAGTGTGTTTAGCAATTGTCTGTAAAGGGAAGGGGTTTTAAACATTTTAGAGCTTTCAGTATGGATCTTACTTGAAAGATGACAGAATCGGTCCCATCATTTAGCAAACTTGGAAGGAAACCAAAATGGTATTTTGCGGACGATGAGCTTTTTCGGCTTCCATCTAGAATGCCTATGGATTTGGCTGCTGAACTTAAATATGGAAGAGAAGCTGCAGAATTTATTCAGGTTTTTTTGTTCGTTTGGATGGAATAAAATTTTGTTTTTTTTTCAGTAAATGGCTGAACAGTTGAATCACAACATTATACATCACAGAGGACAACTGGCAAAGTGCATTCGCTTCAACAAGACGACAATTGCTTGTTTGCTTTTATTTGGCTGATGTGCAGATAATGAAGTTTGAAAGGTTTCTAATTATTTTTCGGGGCTTTTGAGTTTAATAATTAGAATTGTTCCCCCAAATTCAAAATTCACATTAGTATATAGAGAAAAAATTTACAACTCTTTCGTGATGACGGTTGGTTAAGTTGGTAGTGTTATTGTTTATACGAGAATAGGTCGCGGGTTCGATAATCTCTGGGTGATTTGATTTTTATTTTTCATTAATTATTTTTTTTAGATTTGAGCCCGACTGATGATGACGACCCTTTGGACAATTTTTTGATGTTGCTTTGGATGCAACACATGCTCCTGAAAACTTGGCTTGAAAGGTTATTTAACAATTTTATGAATTCTTTTATTTTTTTAACATGTCCTATGGTTGAACACACTCCTTGGACGTTTTTGGCTGGGACAGACAAGAATTGGCAGCTTTTGGCTGTGAATTTTTGAGATGGGAACGAGAGCGTGAATGGTATTTTATTTATTTTTAGTTGAGGGGTTTTTTGAGTGATTTCTGAATGGTTTTGGGATTTCAATTATTGATACGATTGAATGTACGGGGTCTTTTCCGTTATCTTTACATCGTTAAACTCCTCGAGGACATACTCGCATTCCTCGAAGAACATTTGGAACCTTGTTCTATTTGTTTATAACAGGCTGTTTTCATTGAACTTTGTAGGATGCCTCTTTATACTTTAGGTAAAAGTAAGGAGGAAAAATTTGTGTAATCCTCCTCCCCCTTCATCAAAAATTTGCGGAGATTTTGAGCTTGAAATGAGGTCTAAACTCACGCAAAATGATTTTTTTCTTTCAGACTTGAACAATCCCCAGCAACAAAGGGAACAGCAACAACAAGATGGACATTCAATGGATTTCGAGCGAAGTGGTGCTTCTACAACAATATTTTTTGAATATTTTTTTGTTTCTTTTTTATTTTTTTAAGTTTTTTTGAATATTTTTTTTGTTTTTAATCTTTAATATTTTTGTTGTATAAAATGTTTTGACTTTGTTTATGTTGCGTTTTGTAGAAACTTAGACAGTAGGTGTGACTTATTGTTAAACGTGACATTCCTTAAAAAGAAATGTCCTGTTGTTTAGAGAAATTTTAAAAGCGAAATAGTGTAGTTAGAGAAAAATAAATATAAGTATTTATGGTCAGTTCGGTGCTTATTTTGAGAGCGGAATGGCAAAAGTTGAAAACCCTATTTTTGTGAAAATTAAGAATTCCTTTAAATAAATTATTGATTAGTATTGATTTTATCGTTCTTTTTGGAGAATATAATTCGTTTAAAAAATAATTATCGATAGTATTGATTTTTTGAGCATTTTACTTTTTAAAAGTAAATTATGAATTGGTATCGATTGATATCGATTTTTTTTGAATTTTTTGAAACAGAATATATTTATTAAAAAGTTCATTCTGGTTTATTAATTTGAATTTTAAATTATTCTGATTTGTTAATTCTGATATTTAAATTCTGATAATTAAGTTTCCCCCTTTAGGTACAGTAACCATTTCGCTCTGAACTGTAGCACTGAAACGGCCGCAAACGACTGCATTTAATTATGTTCTCTAACCACAATTTTTCTATTTAATTTTGTCGTCTAACTCACTATTTTTTCCATAATACGGATAAGGGGACGTTTGAGTATTGTCAACAGAATAGAGTTTTAGGGCCATAACTTTTTCTAATATCATTAATGGAAAGAAATTTATATATCATTCGAAAGGTCTCGAGATGCCACATCTTTTTTATAATTAGACTAATCCAATCTGAACATCCTACAAAAAGTTATAGATGATATACTTCATGCAGAAAAAAATGCAATTTTAGGGCTGTAACTTCTTTTTGTATGTTCAGATCTGATCTGTTAGGTCTGATACCGACTTAAAAAACAGAATATATTTATTAAAATGTTCATTCTGGTTTATTAATTCTGATATTTAAATTCTGATAATTGAGTTTCCCCCTTCTATTACAGTAACCATTTCGCTCTGAACTAAGGCACTGAAACGGCTGCAAACGAGTGCATTTAATTATGTTCTCTAACCACTATTTTTCTATTTAATTTTGTCGTCTAACTCACTATTTTTTTCCATTTTTTTCTCTACCTTTGTAGCTGTCATTTACTTTTAAATCCATAATACTGGTTGAGGGGACGTTTGAGTATCGTCAACGGAATAGGGTTTTATGGCCATAACTTTCTCTAGTATTAATACTGGAAAGAAATTTATTAACATTCGAAAGGTCTCGAAATGCCGCATCTTTTTTATAATTAGACTAATCCGATCTAAACATCCTACAAAAAGTTATAGATGATATACCATACTTCATGCAGAAAAAATGCAATTTTAGGGCTGTTTTTCCCTAGTGGCGCAATGGATAGCGCGTCAGTCTCCGGAACTGGAAGGTGCAGGTTCGAGTCCAGCTTAAGTCGAATAATTTTAGTGGGATAAATAATATTTTTTATTTTCTGAGGCGATTTTTAACTCAAAAAAAAATTTTTTTTAATCAAAATCTAATTTTTTAATTTAATAAACCTATCAAAAAAATTATCTAAATAAATCAACAACAAAAAAAATAATTTAAATTTAACGTCCCTTTCTAGTAAATTTTTCTTGTCTCATCCACCATTCATCCCTTTAAAAAAATTAATTTTTTCAACAAAAAATTTAAAAATTCAAACCATTTTGTATTAACATCTCTATTATGTACTGGAAATACAATATCTGGATTTTGATAAACATCGTCTACAGAAACATTTCTTTTTGGAAGTTCTTCATCTCCACTAAGTTTTGTTGTTTCATCCTCTCTGTCTTTCCATAATTCTGGATACCATTCTTTGTAATCATAATAACGAAATTCAACATTGAATGGAAGTGTACCTTTAAAAAGGAATTTTAAGTAAATTATTTGACCAAGAGAGTGGGTATGAACCAGGGTTGAAAAGAATGGGGTTTCAGTTGGAAAAAGTATATTTTGTTTATAAACCTTGACTAAAAAATAGGAGAAAAGCCCATTAACAAAATCAAGACGAAAGGCCAGTGGACTCACAAGCCTAGAAACAAACATGCCCACCCAATTTAGAGACGAATTTTTAAGCTACACGAAAATTTTCGTTCGTGATTGCCTTAGAGAAAGAAAAGAGAGGAACATTTTTACTTAAAACTAGAAAAGTGAATCAGTGGAAGGATATGAGTTATTGAAAAAAATTTGAAAAAAACCAATCCTATAATCAAGACCAGGCTTTTCTAAAAAATTCCTAAAACAATCCAAGGGGGAGGGGATAAAGTTCAAAAAATTAAAAAAAAAATTTTAAAACCATTTTCCTTTGCTTTCAACACTTGAGCTTGTAAATTGATTGTCTGTTCAATACACAAACCAGTTTTTAAATTGGATATGGGCAAATCAGTTCCAGGTTGTAAAAAATGTTGCATTAATTTTGGATTCTAAATTAGCAGAAATTCAAAGAAATTTTTAAAATTCCAAAACAAACCCTGTAATCAAAGAAAAAATATTCGTCTCGACAAACAGGGCAAGCATTATTTACATTAAAACGTCCATTTCGATCAATACAAAAAAGTCTTGTTGGAGGCTGCCATTTTAATTGTGTACGTAAATTGCGTTTCCAAGAAGTTTCCCAAATTGGTCTGTCTTTGTAGACATTCCAATATGCTTGAAAAGAAATTTTTTGAAAGGATTTAGTGCTGGGAACAGTTCTGGGTATCGGGCGTTTTGTGCTCCAAGCATTTAAAAGTCCTATTGGTAGCTATGGGTACAGTTGGAGTCATAACTCCTTAGATAGCCTCAGATCCTTCAAATAACTTTCCTAGTCCACCCAAATCCCTATATGGAATATCAATCACTAATCCGGAGCCAACACGGAGTTCAACCCAAAACTTTTAACGGTCCGCAACCGGGCCAAGATTTGAAAATGGCCAGAGCTGCAGCCAAAGACCATTGAAACCCAGACTACCCCATATGTATTTGTTAAGAAAAACCTTCACTAGCCATATATTCAATTTGTTCCTCCACAGTATGTATTGGCTTCAACATTCCAGCCCTCCTTTCCAAATCTTAAAAAGAACTAAAGTTATTCCAAAATTTAAAAAAAAACAAACGATTAAAAGCCTGATCATCTTCACTAAAAGGTACTAAACCTTGCCTTTCCATCAACTTTTTTAATCCTCTAAAAGATCTTTCATAACGGACAGGAATTATGTTTTGGTTGAAAGCCGCTATAAATTGCTTAAAAAACATTTTTCTAAAAGGAAAAATTTTTGTTTGAAAAATAGAATAAAAGAAAAAAATGGCTCTACTTTAGGACATGCGTTCCATGAGTTTTTATGCGTCCTGTCAGAATTATGCGTCCCGAAATTATGATGGGACGCATAATCACACATAGGACTCATAAAAATTCATGGAACGCATATCCTAAAGAAGAGCCAAAAAATTTTCGTTATTAAACGAATCAGTCAAAAATTGAAAAAAAATTATTAAGAATTTACTTTAATCCAAAATAAAAATATACTTTTGACAGAATAGAAAGGAGGGGGAGATCGAAAAAAATAAATATATAATTTATGTAGGTATTTCCAATTTAACTGCAATTATTTCCAAAAGTTCCCCCGTTCTTTTACGCCAATTTTTAACGTCTTTTGATGCTGCTTGCCAAAGTTCTCCATGTCTTGGTTCGGCTTGTAAACAACGCTTCTTTACTTCATCTTTTTGTTCCTAGAAAAGTAATTTTAATTGAAATAATATAAAGTCACACCTCATTATCGTTATACGATAGAAGGCTCGGGTGGGGGGAAAAAGTCGGGTCTGGTTTCGGATTGAGTTTTTAAAATTTTTCTTCGGGTCGGGATTTCGAGCAGAAAAGTCCTAGTTTCGGGAAACACGGCCCACCGACAACGAGAAGGTACCTTATAACGGAAAGGTTCAGATGATTTCCTTGTTAGTTAGATCCTCCTCTGAAAACCACATTATACGACAAAAATTTTTTCAACCTCTAAGGTCTATCTTATAGTGAGGTCTAACTTCAACTTAAAAAATAAAAATATAAAAACCTGAGTTCCATGAATTTGTTCAAATTTATAAAAATAAGCCCAAGCATCTCCAAAATCAGGCTCAACTTTAACTGTTCGCATAAACCATTCCCTCGCTTTTTTATATTTTCTTTCAGCCCAAATAAGCTTAGAACCAGCCAAAAGTACATGAGGATCATGTTCACATTTCTTTAATGCATCCACAATTTTTGTTTTTCTAGCATGGCGTAATTCAATGAATATAGCTTCTGCCCAAAGTCTTCCTACAACAAAAAAATTTTTTCGAATCTGAACATGGTCACGTATCAAAATGTTAAAAAATATCAGCTAGAACTCATTTGTAGATATACAGAAAACAGATTTTGTGAAAAGAAGTCGGTTCACAGGTAATCTGACTTTCTGGTCCTTCCGTGTTATAAAACATGGAGTCTTAAAGTGTGTGCTTCACTTGAAAAGTTCACAAACCAGTGACCAGCCAAACTTAAAAAATTCCAATTTGAAAAGAGTGTACAAACACAAGGAAGACCCTATTAAATCTCCAAACTACTCCCAAAAATATTCCTTTCCCTCAAAATTCCCCAAAAAAAATTTAAAAAAATTTATTCAAACCAGAATGTTCACATTCTTGCAAAGCTCTAGCCAACATTGATTGTGCCAATTCTCTCTGTCCAGCTCTCATTTCAATTCTAACACCTTCCAACCACAATTCATCACATTTTGGATTCTTAGTTTTTGCAATATCTAATTCACTTCTAGCTTTTATATGTCTTCCTCTAAATTCTTCTAGTCTAACCAACAATAACCATAAAGGAATACAATGAACATTTCTTTTGGTTCCTTCAATATAAAATTTTCTTGCTTCATCAAAATTGCCTTCTTGTGTATATATTTGTCCAAAAATCATATAAAATTTTTCAAAATTTGGATATAATTTAATTCCTTCATTTAACAATTCTTTTGCTCTAACCAAATCATTTAAACACCATTCTAAACGTGCAGATTTCATCCAAAAACGTGGGGAAGGTGCAGAATTTCGAGCACGCTCAAGTAATTTTCTTGCACGATCAAATTCCTAATTAAAAAACAAAAATAAAAATCATCAGAAATTTTTTTTAGAAATTTTTAAAAATTTATTCAAGTCAAAAACAAGAATATTCCTCTCATCAACAATTCTCCCCCCAAGAAATTCTTTGGTGTAGTGGGTAAACAACTAGACTGGGAAAAAAATAAGTCGAAGGTTCGATACCCAAAGAGGGTAATTATTTTTTATTTATAGAAAAATTAACAAAACTAGAAATAAAAAATATTTTCTGAATTTTTTCCGACCCTCTACATTTTTTAAACCCCTTAAAAATTTTAAAAATCTAAAGAAACCTCATTTTCCGATTCAAGTTTAACAGCAGCCATCCAAATTTCTTCAGAATTGGGATTATGTCTAAAAGCTTGGGCTAAAATCTGACGAGCACCTTCAACATCTCCTCCCTGCCACCTCGATTTTGCTTGCATTAACCACAAATTTTCAGCATCCGGACAATTTTCTGTTGCTTTCTTCAAAATTTCTTCATAATTTTCAACAGAACCAAATTCTCTTTCAAAAAATGCTGCTCGAGTCCAAATACTTTTCTTCTTTGAAAATATATTTAAAATGTAGGAATATACTGCTCTAGCTGATTGTATTGCATGTTGTGTTATAAACCATTCTGCATCTTCCATCCATGTATGTTTTCTATCTTCGTCTTCAACACCAATTGCTATGACGTTTTGTCTATAAAAGAATAAAATAATTTGGATATAACACACAATTAGTAATTAAGACGATTCGGTTGAATTTAAACCAAGGACGCCACGGGTTAAGAAAAAAGCTAGAACGAGTTTAATGTCAAAAAGTCATGGTTCCGGGTAATTTGTGACATCCCTAATTCTAATCAGCATAACTCATGAACGGATGACAACCACTTAACGTTCGTAAGAATATTAAGAACTATCCATCACTTCTTAAGTTATAGGAGCCTGGGACACAACTGAACCACCCTAAGTTTTTAAGTAAAAAACCTTACATAATAGCTCTACTAGTCAACGGACAATTAGCAGCCTCACATTCAACAGCATCTTCTAACCATTGTTTTCTGTTTATTTCAACTTGTGCAGAACGAAGAGAAATTAGAGCACGTTCAATTAAAATTGGGACTCTTTTAGCTTGTCCACGAGTTTCTTCTAGTCTTGCAGCTGCAATCCAAATCATTCTTTCCGTTGGAATATTTTCTCTAGCTTTGTTTAGAACCTTTAAAATGTGTTTTATACAAAAGAACAAGCGTTTAAATATTCTAAAATAGGGTTCGCCCGTGACCCGTCGGAGAACACAGTGGAATAGCAGGCAGCGGACCGAGGAAATCATTGCCGGTTTAAAATAAGGATGGTCTTTTCATTTGTTTTCACCCGTTGGGAGAACCTTTTCGGGGAGCGCATGACGGAATTTGGACCGTGGAATGAATTAAAAATTATCGATAAGGACAGGGAGTCCAAAACCAACTCTTGTTTCAAGAAAGAAAACCTTTTGAGCATTTTCATAAGTCTCCAATTTCGCTAAAGCTAGCCACAATTCAGTACTTAAAGGGCAACATTCAACAGCTCTAGACAAAAGCATTCGAGCATCTTCAGGATCTTCCAAATCTATTGCGGCTTTCCATAAACGAACTGAGCTGGGATTACTTTCCAAAGCTCTACGCAAAACTTTTCTTTTGCCTTTAACATCAATTTCAAGATCAGCAGCTTTTAACCAAATTTTGACTGAATGGGGAAGAGCACGAACAGAATTGGCAACTTAAAAAAATAAGAATTTTTAGGTGAATTTTAAAAGGAAAAATATCACAATAAACATCAAATTAATGACAGCCAACAGGAATTAAACTCATGTCAGTCTATTCAGAGTAAGGATGGGTTGGGTTGAAAGAAAAGTCAGGGTTTGTAACTCCCCCCCCCCCCCCCCCTTCATAAATCACCATCAAATACCCCACAAACTCTTTCATTAAACTAATGTGTTTCTAACCAAAATATATTTCTAAATAAAATACCAATATTCTTTCCAACATTAGGAGGGTGTAATCGAATTGCTTCAAGCCACAAATCTTCAGATTTATCAATCCTTTCAAGTCCTTCCATTATTAAATTCCTCGCTGCTTGTAATTTACCGCTAGCTTCTTCTAAACGTGCAGAGGCTACCCAACCTTTAAAAAAAATATTTTTTTAAACTTTCAAAATAAGTTTGAACCTTGAGGTTTTTCTGGATTTGTTTCACGCAAGGACTTCAGAAGCATTCGACCCTTTTTGATATCTTGCATATCCGCTCCAAATTGAGGTATCATTGATTGAAGATCAGTTAAATAACCTTTTGGGTCTACCACAGTTTGACCAGAAACTGAATCCGAAACCTTAAAAAGGAGAAAATTTAACACGGGAAGAAAGGTCAATAAGGTAAGAGAGAGACAAAAGTTTAGTCCAGAGCATACCCTGTGATTTACTGACGGACATGAGCATTGCAAGGTGCTTTCGTTTACCATGTACAGGTGAGTGGTCTACCTACTGACGAGTTACCGGGGCATTGATTTCACCTTCTATTTTAATGAACCTTAAACCCATGCCTAGTAAGTGTTTTATAAATGCTAGCCAGATATACCTCCTCCCTATAAAATTTAATTTTATTAAGAGAATTTTGCCATCAGATTGAAAACTTAAAAGTGATCATACGCCTATCAGTAAATTACAAACACATTTTTTAATCAAAAATTTTTCGAGATGGAATTTAAATAAAAATGAGTTTTGTCCAAAATTACTCATCAATGCCCAAACATTTTTAACATTTACAAATGCTGGACAATGAGAAAAAATTAAGAATGATTTCTCCATCCCAAAAATATGCAAATAAGCAAAACCATTTAAGCCTACTTGCGATTAAAAAAATGTGCTAGTTTTTAATGAGCGTCAAATCTTTTACAATCTCTTCATTTGGCAACTTATTTTTTATTTTAAAAATATTTTTTAGGTAAAGAATATAAAGAACCCTTCCTAGCAGAAATAGAAAGGGTTTCTCTCCCAACAAGCTCTATCCCTGTATCCTACCACAGGATTTACAACTAGATTCATAAATGCTAGATCTAAACAAATGTAAAATGATTCTAGCCACTCGTCACAGTGGATATAACCGCCCGGTAACCGCTGTAACTCGTTGAGAAGAGCCTGGTGGTAAGAAAATGACTTCATGTCCACTTCCCTTCATAAATTACAAAAAAAGCTTTACTAACTTGGTTAAGTCTAATATCCATAATCCGATTTTTTGCTTGTCCAATTTTGCGTAAATCCAAATCTGAAGAAGTTCCTGTCCCCGTCTTCCAACCTGGAGTGACCAAACCAGGATTTAAAATTGATTGGAATCCTCCAAAAGTTGATTGAAAGCCGCCACCCAAAGAAGATTGAAAACCAGAATAAGGAGTAGAAATTCCATTTTGGATACTTGAATCCATTACTGTGTTCATTTGTCCGTAGCCCATTGCTGAAGCGATAACAGAGTCGGGCACAGGGGTGAAACTAAAAAGAAAAGATTTCTTGTGCTAGAAAGGAGAGTGGAACAAAATTGGTTAACCGACCGGTTAATTTTTCCCTGTGGCGGGTCAAAGAGAGAAGAGAAACCATCACAGGGAAAAATTAACCAGGCGGTTACTAAAAAAGAAATGCCTATATTCATGACCATTGAGTAGGGTGGAGATTTCAAGCCGAAACGAAAACACGAAAATTTTGTTTAGGCCTAGAATCTGATGAATCCAACATCTCTATTATAAGCAGGGATGTCAAGTTTGAGAAGCCGGACCGGGTAACCAGTGACATAAATGCCATAGATTGAAAATGGAGAAAGGACCTCAAAATTTAAGAAAATGGACTCTTAAATCACCTCTAAAAATAAAAAAACAAACGTTTCCATTCTCGGATTCCTCTTTGCTCTATTCCTGCTATCACCAACTTCAGGAATTGATGCCCATTCCTCCTCCTTGACTGTTGCCAATTGTCTTCTCAAATCGCTAAATTGTTGTTGAATTTTGGGCCTTTCTTTTCTGTAGTTTTCGACAGCTTCTTTATACTTTCTCTCTCGATAATCCCTTCGACGTTCATCCTGTCTCATATCGACAGCATGATAAATTTCGTCAGCTTCTTGGTCATCTTTATCATAAGGGTCTTTTGCGAATAAACTTCCTCCATAACCTTCGAACTGAAAAAAGGAAAGGGTTAAAGAGGTATCGTTTCTGGAATGAGAATGTCGGGTAGTCAAAAAAAAATCTTAAATAAATAAAAATTCAAAAAACAAAAAAACAACTAATTAAAAAATAATGTCACCCAAGCGGATTCGAACCCATGACCTATCCAAAGCAGCAAAACAACAAAATGACACGTACGAATAATTCTCTCAACCAAAAAAATCTCAAACACGACGAAAATCATAAAAACCTATCAGAAATGTATTTCCTAAAAATAAAAAATACTGGCCTTCGAGCGGATTCAAACACGCGACCTATCCCTTATGCGGCCTAAAAACTTTTCCACTAAACCAAACTAACAAATTGTTACAAAACTCAAACCTCATCGTAGTTAGCGTCATTCAAATCTTCAGGCTCATCATTATCGTCATCTTTCGGCTTTTTAGCTGGAGTAGCCCCGGCCGCTGCCGCCCCAGCCATCCCAGGATCAGCGGGCAAATCAACGCCAGGTCCAATATCAGATCTCGTAGTAAATCCAGTAGCACCTCTTCCAACACCAGCAACATACCCAGCTGGGGCGGACATTCCCATAAAGTGCTTTTTGGTCTTATTAACCAACGAACCAGGAATTGTTGTAGTCATTTTTTGATGGGGTTTTAACGTGAAAATGGAAAGTCTTGAGTACAAGAAACGCAAAATCTCAAAAGAAGCTAAAAGTATTCTTAACGATAAACATAAACCTAAGACAACAATCTAAGTTTAACGATTTTTATTCAAAACAAAAGCAGTTTTTAAATCAATGGATAGGCAAAGAAAAACAAAATGAAAATTTTCTGATAACATTAAAAGCCAAAATCCAAAAAAAGGTCTCCACAAATCGTTAAAATTCTTCTGACATCTCCCAAACCTTCAAGTTCTCTCACTTGTTGTTGGCATAACTAACGCGTAACGGACGGCCATTCATCTCAGTTCCATTCATTTTGGCAACAGCGTCATCCGCCCCCTGTTGGTCCTGAAACTCGCAAAAGCCAAAGCCTTTTGGACGATTGGTGTTACGGTCGATGACAATGCTGAAAAATAAAATTATAATTTTGTACAGAAGCGATTAATCGTATATATTTTTATTCTATCGGACTCGGAGCGACGAGACGAGTCGAATGATATATTATACGCCTAGGAAATAAAATGTTTACCCCAACGGGGTTCGAACCCACAACCGCCAGAAGCCATAACCAGACAACTGACCCACTACACCACAACTACATTTTTATCTAAAAAAGTTAAAACAAACCGAACGTTAGTCACAACGCCACAAGACGAGAACATATTTCCAAGATCAGTCTCCGTGGTGTTATACGGAATGTTACCAACTAGAAAATTAAAAAATTAGTTTTAGACAAAACCTTTTTAAAGTTTAAACGTTTATCAAGTCAAAAAGGCACAGGATCTCTCAAAAAAAGTAAAAAAAGAATGCATGTAAGTCATACTAAAACAACAAACACACAAACCTTTTAAAGCTTTTCAGCATTTATACCCACGGAGATCAGAAAATTGATGATTCCACACAAGCTTTTGATGCCTTTTTAAAGCAAAAATGTGTTGTCTTGCATGATTTTTTGGATTATTTAATTCATTTCCCCAAAATTTCACCCAAATTTCCCCATTTCCTTAATTTTTTATACCATAAACGCTAAAACCAGAAGAAGCCATAATTAAATATCAGTCAAGTTTTTTTGTTTAAAATTTTAAAAGCAAACGAACACAACTGAAAAAAGAAAGAAAATTAAACATAAACAAGCTAAAATAGTTAAAAGTAAACGGAAAAATAACGGTCACTACAGCAGAAATCAATTTCAAAAAATTTCTCTATTTCTTTCCCTGTCTTTTGTTTTTACATGCTCTTTTTCTTTAAAAAAGAAGCCATTAATAGGAATAGTAGAGTCTTAAGAGAGTATTTTAAAGAGAGAGTGAAATAGATGAGACTCAAAAATATATTCAGAGGAAGGCCGTTTCAGTGCCGCTAAATTCAGTGCACAAATAAAACAGCCGTTTCAGTGCTAAATTAATTATTTGAAAAGAAAGTTTGGCAGAATGTTTTACTCTCTTTCTCTAACGTTACTCTCATCGTTTTACATTGTATTTTCAAAATTTTAGTCTCAAAATCTTTCAAAATCCGATATCCTGTTTTTGGTGGCAGGCAAGTTTGTTTAGCAAAAAGGATGGAGAGTTTACGAGCTTTACACGTTTTTGAGTCAAATTTAAATAAAAAATGGATGATTCACAATTGTTTAGTCACTCATTTTCTCTCCCTCTTTGATTTTTAAAATTAAAATTTTTATTTTTTAGATTAAATTTGCTTCTGTAATTTAATTGCAATCTTAAAATGACGCTAAAATCAATTGTTGGACAAAGTAAGTTTTTCTTTTAAATTACCGTAAAGGCTCTAATTAAAGCCCCGGGGCTTCTATTTTTCACTACGTCTCTTTGACTGAGCTTATTTTCGATATGGGCCTCTATTAGAGAGTGGGCTTTTATTAGAGCTCAAAAAAATTTTTTTAAAGAATTAATCAACGAGGTACTCGCCCCTCTACATAAACCAGAAAAAGGAGGGGCTTGGAATGCTTTAATAGTTGATCGTCTTGCAATGAGAATGTTAAGTGCTTGTTGCAAAATGCATGATGTAATGGATCAAGGAGTTACTATTGTTGAGGATTTGAATAAACGAAGAGAACCTTTGCCTACTATTGATGCTATTTATTTGATTTCTCCGACAAAGGTTTTTTTGCTTTTTAAAGTTATGGCTACGAGCCTCTCTTGAATAGGGTTACTTGTTTATTTTCATAGAGAGGAGATTCAGATAGCCATAAGTTTGTTCAGAATTAGTCGTCTCAGCCTTTTTGACCACTTTGAACCCTTCTGTAATCCCTGACCGTTTTAACTCTTGTATCTCGCCTCTTGTAACCGAGCCTCATGGTTGTGGGACGCCCTTCGCTTTTGCTGTCACTCGTTCATATTTCAGTCCAGTCCGTATTTCCTGACCTTTTCCAATTTTTTTCAAATTATTTTTTAAGGAATCCGTCGACAAATTGACTCAAGACTTTTCTGGTTCTCACAATTTATATAAATGTGCACATGTGTTTTTTACTGAAGCTTGTCCTGATCAACTCTTTTCTACTCTTTCGCGTAGTCCAGCTGCTCGTCATATAAAGACTTTAAAAGAAATAAATATTGCTTTTACTCCTTATGAATCACAAGTATTTTTTTTTGAAATTTATTTTTTAATTTTTTAAAAATTCTTTTGAAGGTTTATACTCTCGATTCGCCATCGACTTTCTTTCTGTATTACAACCCCCAAAAGCCCGGCAGTCTAACGGAGAACCTGGACCGCATAGCGGAGCAAATAGCAACGATTTGTGCTACTCTTGGAGAGTATCCGTCTATTCGGTATTTTTTAGAATTTAATTTAAAAATTTTCTGAGGGTAAAATGAAAGGGGTAGACGTAAATTTGTGCATATTTTATCATTTAAACCATGAGAATCTAAAAATTAATTTTGTATTCACCCTTAGAAAGTCAACTTCATAGCGGTCATCGTCCTAGTCTTTTTTAATTTTTAGTTTTGCTATTTTTGAAGCTTATCTTCAAGGTGTTTGACCACTAGGACATTGTCTTTAGGGAGTTGACCTTCTGGGATGGTCCCCTAATTTCTCTTTTTAATTAAAAATATTCTAGTTATCGCGCTGATGTTGAACGTAACGTTGATTTGGGTCACTTGGTTGAAGCAAAATTGGATGCTTACAAAGCTGACGAGCCTTCTATGGGTGAAGGAACAGAAAAAGCTCGTTCTCAACTAATAATAATTGATCGAGGATTTGATGCTGTTTCTCCATTATTACACGAATTAACTTTACAAGCAATGACTCAAGACCTTTTAAATATCGAAAATGATGTTTATCGTTATGAAACTGGAGGGGCAGAATCTGTGGATAAAGAAGTTTTGTTGGATGAAAGTGATGATTTGTGGATAGAGAATAGACATAAACACATTGCTGTGGTTTCTCAAGAGGTTTTTTTTTGTTATTTAAAAAGTAGTTTTGGAGGGAAGGGAGGTGGGAATTTTTGGAGACGGATAGTTCTTGATTTCTTTTGGTCCTTCACATTTGCTTTCATATCCACCTTTTCTTTTTGGGATAAACTGTTATTCTTGTGGTCGTCGACTTTGGCTAATCTCGGTCATAAACCATGGGGAGGACTGGACGGGTTTAATTTTGGATTTGGAACACTTCAAATATTTTTTAATTTTTTTTTTGGGGGGGGGGGGAGACTTGCTTGAAGGGTAACTTGTTAGTAGTACCTAAATTATCCATTATCTTAATTTTAAAAATCATTTGAAAATTTTTCAAATATTCTTTACAGGTAACTCGTGGATTGAAAAAATTCTCGGAAAATAAGAAAATGCCAAGCGATGCAAAATCCATTAAAGACTTGTCTTTGCTAATTAAAAAGGCTCCACAATACCAAAAAGAATTAAATAAATTTAGGTTTGTTTGGATTTTTTTATTTTTAAAATTAATTTTTTGAAGTACACACTTTCATTTGGCTGAGGAATGTATGAATAAATATAAAAATGGAATTGATAAACTTTGTAAAGTGGAACAGGTTTGTGGGAGGAAATTTTTCTAAAAAAATTTTTTGAAAATTTTGAAGAATTTTTGGGTGTAAAAATTTGGGATCTAAAAATTTTTTTTTGGAAATTTTCAAAAATTTCAAGAAATTTCTTGAATTTTCAAGTTTTTTTTCGAAAAAAATTTCTTTTTCTTATAGGATTTGGCTTTGGGAATGGATGCTGAGGGTGAACGTATTAAAGACCCAATGAAATTAATGGTACCTCTATTAATTGATCCAGCTGTGAAAATGGAGGATAGATTGCGTCTTATTCTTCTTTATATCCTTCATAGAAATGGTTTTTTTATTTTTTTTTTAATTTCCCAAAAAAAATTTCTTTCTTTGAGGTATAACCGATGAAAATTTAAATAAATTGTTGCAACATGCAAATATTCCACATATGGAGAAAGAAACACTTGTTAATGCTTCTCTGTTAAGCTTGAATATTACTATTGATGTGAGCGAATATTTTATTGGGAATTTTCAGGAGGACAAAAAAAAAGTGGACATTTTGTCCCAAAAATTTTTTTTCGGATTAAAAAATTATTTTCGGATTTTTTAAAAAATTTTTTAAAAGAGTTGGCGGGGGTTATTTTCTGAAATTAAACTAGTAAATTAATTTTGAAAATTTTTCTTTAAATTTTTAAGCAAGGCAGAAAGCGTGTTTGGACCCCAACTCGTCGTGAACGTGGAAATGAACAAGTTTATCGTGAATCTCGTTGGGTCCCTATAATTAAAGATATAATGGAAGACGCAATAGAAGACAAATTGGACATTAAACATTTTCCATTTTTGGCTGGACGTCAAATTAGCCAGCCATATCGGTAGGGAATTTTGTTTTATTCTAGAACTTTTTTCTTTTTAAGCGCTCCAACAAGTGCCCGTTATGGCCAATGGCACAAAGACCAACGTTATTCACAAATGCGTTCAGGCCCTCGTCTAATAATTTTTATTGTTGGAGGTGTAACCTTTTCTGAAATGCGTTCGGCATATGAAGTAACACGTTCACAAAAGGCCTGGGAAGTTGTTATTGGTTCTGATCAAATAATTACACCGGAACGATTTTTGAATAATTTGCGAGATTTGAGTAAAAAACAGCATGAATAAATGAGAAAAGAGGTTTTTTTGAGAGAAGTTTTGGATAAGACCCCGTAAATTCTTTAATAGAATCACCCCTCTCTAAATGGAAGCTCCCCAAATCTAATATAAGCACAACTTACGAGAGGATTGAAAAATAGAAGAGTGGTTCTATTAGGGAATTTATGGGATGATTTTTAAAAATATTTTTGCTTTTTGCAATACAAAAAATCCTTATAAAATTTTTTCTTCTAAAAATTTTTCCCCTCTTAAAAAATATTTTTTTCAACACCAATTTAATTTCTCTGTATTTTAAAAATTATCTAAAAAATATTCCTGTCTTGTCCTATCACTTTTTTTCTCTATTAATGTAAAAGTTTATACCCAAAAATTTAATATGTAATTCCAAAAAACATTTAATCTATACCTAGAAAAACATTCCACTAGTCAGAAACAATCTTTACTAAATATTTTGTTTAAATAGAGATTGAGAGCAATATTAATTTCCGTAAAAACAAGTTTTGATTTTAAAACTTGATAAAACAAAACAGTTTAAAAATTACAGAGAAAATTGTTTATTGCTCAATCTCTATTTTTAAAATTTTTTATCTTTATTTTATGTTTTGTGAAAAACATTTTTGAATTGTATCTATAAAGTCAAATTAAAGCAAATTTTTTAAAATAAACGAGAAAAATAAATTAAACTACCGCAAATGCTGAAATAATGTCACTCTCTCAAATAATTACCCCCGCCCTATTAATTACGCCCTAAAACCAGAGATAGAAAAAATAATTACCCCTCCTAAAAATAGTTATAATTAGCTTTTTAAAGAAAGCTCGAATAACTACCCCCTCCAGCGAGAGGTTGAAACAATAATTACCCTGGGTTATTATTTTAGCAAATACGGTATAAACCTAACAATAAGTCTATAAATAAATTTATCAATTTTTTCTCTTAATTTCAACGTCAACGGGATCCTCCGGGTAACCATAATCCTGGAACATAGTATTTTCTTTAATGCATACAAAAAATTTAATTTTTGGATTGTGTTTATTGGAAAGTTGAAATATTGTTGTTTTATAAAAGTTGTCAAACAAGATTAGATTATCTTCTGATTCTTCTGCTCTTTTAGTAATTCGAGGTCCACGCATACAATGAAATCCAATTTCCTTCACCATTTTAGAAAGATCTTGTGATGTTTCTACTATTTGCTAAAATGGAATTTATTAAATTTTTAAAACAAAGCTCAGTTTTTAAAATTTTTCAGTCATTCCATTGACCGATTTTAATGTCTGAAATAGAGCTCTGAAAATAAATTTTGAGCCTTGACAATTTTTATTGAAAAATTTTTCCTGGATCCATAATCAATATAACCAGCCCTATTTTATTTTTATAATAATGTACAAACCTCTATAATGAAATTGTAAAATTTAGAATCAATACATGCAAAATTAATCATGGAAAATTTACTTCCTCCATTTGCCAAAATTTTGAATAAAACGTCCAAATTTTTTTCTATATCATATTCTGTAGAATCAATATTGAATTGAAGGTCATTAGAAACCAAATGATTCAAAACAAAGTCGAAAACATGATTCCCGCAAAGAAGTAGTTCGATTTGTTGTGAATGTATTTGTAAAGGCATATTTGTTTTATCTTCATCAAACAATAATTGGATCATTTGTGGATTAATTATAGTAGAACCAATCTCAAAAATTTCGAAAGCACAGTTAAAAAGTAGTTGGAATAAAGATCGAGCAATTTTCATATCCTTTATACTTTTTGGAATCCATGGCAATTTTAAACAGTATGCATCTAAATAAAATTTTAATAATTAAAAAATAATTTATTGTTAATGATTGAAGGTCCAAAGAACAAAAAGAATGCAGAGTGAACATTTTCTTTTAACTAAACTTGAAATTTTATTCCTTTCAATTTGTATAAGAGAATACCTAACCGAAAATTCTCAAATTCTGAAATCTATTAAAAAACAATCCTGAAAATAGAAATAGTTTGCAAAAGTTTAGCCATCGGGCAGGATTCGAACCTGCGACAACCTGCTACTTGTTGCTAGGTGATTTCGGTAAACATATACAGGAGCTCTCCCAATGAGCTACCTGGGCATCGACTAATGCTTTCTCTTTTTCCTTTTTAGATCGTTTAACCCCCGCCTAAGCGTTTTAAATGCTGCTAGATAAATCATCCTTACAAAATTTACATTAAAAAGGCTCACTAGGCTTAACAGTTAGGCCCATCTCGTGAAACTCGTTGAAATAATCTTGTCCCAAATCACAAACAACGGTTTCTAGTTCCTCCATTTCAGGCCATGTTAAAAACATTGGAATTGACTCTTCTATTGCACGTTTCCACTAAAATATGAGATTATTTTAAAAAACGTCAAGTTCTTAAAACCTTTTCCTCAAGTTGCTCGCTCAATTGAAAATCATTAGGTTGATGTTCTAGTCCAACAAATATATGTCCGTCAAAACGAAAGTCGAAGTCAAGCACCTAAAAAATTATCAGTATTAAAACAATTTATAAAAAAATACAAAATAAAGGCTTTCGAATTTCTTTCTTGCCAATTCTTTTCCATATTTGTCAATAAAATTTTTGAAATAAAAATTTGTTTGTTGAACAGCCAATAATTGAACAAAGTTGAGAAATTTAAATATATCAAGTAGAATTTCTGGTTGAAGGTTTAATTTGGATTTTTTGGTTTTAATGTCAGCAGGCACATTGTCTTCTCCAGTTGGAACCAAACGATACAATTGACTCTCCTAAAAAATATAAATTTTTTTGATTTACAAAAGTTAATAAGAAACCTTTTTATAATATTTAACACCCTCATGTTTAATAATTTTTCGATCCTCGCTCATTATTGTAAAATAATTTAATTAAAGTAAATTGAAATTTTGATCTAAAAATTAGAAGAAATGCTAAAATAATTAAAAGAAAACATTAAGTAGGTATAAAAAAATTATAAAATAAAATTATAGTACATAAATAAAAATTAAAAAAAATTTTTTTATAAAAAATTTGTTTAAAGCTTAAAAGCTTGAAAGGCTTTAAAGGAAAAAAAATAAAGAAAGGAAAAAATTGAAGCTTGAAAGGGGAAAATATACAAGCATATACAAAATGAATTTAAAGAGATCAGAATTTAAAGAGATTTGGGAGGCTCACATCATGTGAGCCTCCCAAATGGGGAGGCTCACATCAAGTGAGCCTCCCAAATGGGAGAACTGCCGATGAACAATAATCAGGGGTTTATATATCACATATTTCTTAGTAAAATTGTATAAAAAGTACAATAAAACTAGATCAAGGATATATAAAAAAGAGGAGAATTTGCTTAAAGTACAAAAAAGGAGTGAGAAACTAACCAATTTGATTGATAATTAGATAAAAGATCAAATTGCTTTAGGCAATTTGGTCGCGGAATAAAATTGTAAAAGGATATATTAATTTATTTTTTATTTATTTTATTATTAATTTTTTATTCCGCGACACAAGTTTTCAAACAAAAAGTTCCATCAGGCAATGTTCTCAACAAAAAATTGATTTTCATGTACATCCATACATGCTCAAACACATTTGAGTGTATTCCAAACAAAAATTTAATAATCACCAAACCAGCAAAAAGAAGGCAATTTTGGGGCGGAAAATATCGGGTTACCAATTGGAGAAAGTCAGTCGAGTTTTGGAAAAATTTCTGGGAACGGATTTCGAGACGGAAAAATAGCCCAGATAAACCGTGACTTCCTAGGTAGGTCCCCATTAACCACCAACAACTTCTCCAATCCCAGGCATTAACAAATCTACAGATTCTGTCAAATCCTTCTTCTTTTCTTCTTCATCTTCACAACGAGAAATGTAAAAAGCTTTAATTCCAACTGGGAAACGGTTCAGCAAGATCGGCTTTAAAAAAATTAAAAAAAATAAGCCGGTTCATCAAAAAAGTCCATGGAAAAAAGTGTAGAGCCTCCTTCAACCTTAAATTTAGCAGTTAAACTCAAAAAGTAATCCTTAATAAACCTGAGTTTGAACAAGTGTTGGAGGTATGATGAGCGGGTTACCAGTTCTTACCCATTCCCCAATAAAAATATAAACTTGATCCGAAAATATTTATTTAAATTTAAAATACAAATATGAGGGGAATATTGGGCCGACGCATAGAAATAGGAACAAGTATGAGGAAAAGGGGAAGGGGGCGAACACCAGGAATCGGGAAAAAGACTAGAAAAACAACAACTGAATGTGAAGTAAGATAAAAAAGGACTAGTTGAGGGAAGAATATAAAGCTGGCACGAAAGGGGCGGGATTAAAATATATTATAGAAAAACAGTATTTTTATTCATCTTTTTAATTCACTACAGAGGAAAAATTGGGGGAAAAATTTTCCATAGGGTTTACTTTTGTTATCCACTGTTGTTGTTGCTGCCGGATCATCTCCTTCAGGTGACATACAACATTTAACCTCTTTAGTTTTTCCAACATTAATTGTCTGCACCAGTTTTGAGTATATCATTTTGACTTGGCATAGGTATTGGAGCAACATATTGCTGCTGTGGAGGTTGTTGGTGTTGAAGTAGTGCTAATAGTGGAATTTGAGGAGAAGCAACACGAGGTGTTGTTGTTGTAAGCGGTACAAGTAGTGGTGGTGTAGTAAAAACAAGAGGAACTGTTGCTGCTGCCCAATCATCTCCTTCGGGTGACATACAACATTTAACCTCTTTAGTTTTTCCAACATTAATTGGCTGCACCACAGTTTTGAGTATATCATTTTGACTTGGCATAGGTATTGGAGCAACATATTGATATTGTGGAGGTTGTTGGTGTTGAAGTAGTGCTGATGGTAGAATTTGAGGAGAAGCAACACGAGGTGTTGCTGTTGTAGGCGGTACAAGTGGTGGTGGTGTAGTAAAAACAAGAGGAACTTATTGTGGGAAAGGTAGAGGTGGCAGCGGTAATCTTTGCTGTAGGGGAGCAATCGTTTCTAAAATAAATTAAGGTTATAACCATTCAAAAATATGAAAAAAAATAACCTGAACTTAAAATTCGACTTTTTACTTCATTTTCTGTTGCATCTCTAGAAGATAAATTAGAAGAATGATGAAGTTGTTGTTGTAGGCTGAGGAGGTGATGTTGTTGTTAATGATGTTGGTGGTGGCCTATGATAGGTGGTGGCCTAGGAAAAACAAGTTGACATTGAGAAAAGAGGGAAGGCAGCTTTTTATGTTTATGTCAAGAAAAATTATTGAATCTTAAAAAAATGGATTGGAATTAAAATAAGGCAAAAAAATATTAAAAAAACCTGGAGTTAAATTTGGACTTTCAGCATCTTTAAAAGTTAATGGTGGACGTGGAGGAGGATGTAATAGAAATTGTTGTTGTAATTGTGATAATGGTGCTGAAAAACTGGAGCTGACGTATGATTTCTTTCAACGTATGATTCCACGTATGATTTCTTTCAATAGGTTCCTATATTCCCAAAATAACCTTTTAATGGAATGGAGAGAGCTCTAGTAACCTAAAGTTCTGATACAACTCCCAAATACACTCCTACTCCATATATTCTTCTTCCCCTTCCCATAAAAGGAAGTACCAAAAAATTTTTTAAAAAAACCTTGAAATCGATTTAATGGTTTTGAAGCATCCATAATTCCAACAGGCCATCCAGTCTCTTCTTTTGAATAATACTTTTCTGTTTCTTCCTCTAACAATTTAATTTCTTCCTCGGTTCGAATAAATTCATTATTTAAAAAATGCATGGTTAAAGCTGAAATATCCAATTCGAAAAGTAATGGAGAAATTGAAGTAAGTACCAATTTGCTGGGTTGTTGAGAGACTAGAAAAGATGAAAATGAATCTCTTTGGACTAAAAATGAGGGTTTTTTTCTTTGCCGAAGCCCAACTCGTGCACAGAAGCCTCTCCTCCACTCCCAGGCACGTAGCCAGGATTGCTCCTCTATTAACTGGCCAGGAGTGTCAAGGGCCACCAGAAACCTTTACTTTTTTAGATCCAAACCCTTTTACCCTCTTAATCACCCGTACTGAGCCGAACTTCTTTCGACCCGGAACCCGATCCGAAGAAAATTTTTTAAACCCGACCCAACCTTTTCCTCAACCCATGACATCCCTGAGCACGGGTCTGTCCGTCTCCCATTTATAAAAAAATAAACCTTACAATATTGGCAATGGCATTGAGCAACGAAACACGAACAATAACTGGCTGAGAATTTGCAGGAAAATCAGAAGCAGCAAGTTTACCAGCAGAAACCAAAATTTTGACAGGCACTTCAGGAGACAATAATTGATAGAGGCAGTAGATGTACGGGCCAATAAAAATATTAAAAGGTTTGGCCGAATACCCAATTCTGTTGTGCAAAACGAGGGCGATTTAACTAAAAGTAAAAAAAGTTTTTTTTAATTTTTTTGAGAATTTTGAAAAAATATGGGGGGGGGGGGCGGGCAAGGGGCGAAGATAAAAATTTTCTCTGTGGGATCAAGGATGTAACGAGTCATCCGAAACTTTCAACTTTTTTGAACAGACCCGAGAAATCTTCGAAAACCCGACCCTCCCTCGAATTTTTTCACTGATCCGGACCGAACCCCGGACATCCTAAGAAAATATTGAAAACCGAAGAAAATATATCCTAAGAAAATATTGAAAACCGAAGAAAATATATCCTAAGAAAATATTGAAAACCGAAACCAGAACACCAAAACGGAATTTTTTCCTCAAACAGTGAAACCCCCGGTTGGGTCTCAAGACGTTTAAAAATAATTCAAAAATAATTAAAACCTTAATATGTTGATTAACAAAATTATTTTGTCCATTTTCTTCATGTTTTTGATCCAAAATTATTCTTTCCCAATTTTCGGCTAATTGAATTCCTCCTTCCCATCCTTCATAATTTTCTTCTTCTCTATTCAATTCAACTTCTTTATTTCCTCCAAAAATTAGCCAACTTAAAAATAAATCCAAAGATAGAGTTCCAACGTCTGATGCCCATGACTCAAACATAGAGAGAGGCTTTTAATTAACTTTAATAAAATTGTGGCTGCGCGCCCTTTTAGGCCAAACTATTGATTATTTTGGAAATGTAAATTGGGTAAAAATATTAATTCAGGTTTTAACCTGTTAAAAGTAATGAAAATAAGGCTGCAGGAAATAAATTTTATAAAATAAAAAATAATTTAAAAAACAAACATTAAAACAATTAAAAAAAAAATCAGGAAAAAATAAAGTCCACAATCGGGTACAGCCCAAGTAGGCGAGCGGCCAAGTAGGCGCGCAATGCTATAACTAAAGCAAGCTATACCAAATTTAGTATCAAACGATTCCTCTCATAAAGCTAAAGAGATTGGTACCAAAAGTCCAGAAATTTTCCAGGTATTTATAGCTTTGCGCCTACCTGGCCGCGCGCCCACTTTGGCGTGTCCCTCCACAAGCGTAATAAAAAAGTCGAGCATAATAGGTCCAGGTTTTAGTATTTTCATTCAATTAAATTGTTGATTCCAAGCCAAATTTGGGTCCATTACCTTAAATTAGAGTAATGAAAATAAGGCTGCAATAAAAGGAATCCTAATTTAGAATTAATATCCCCGACAAGAAAACTCCCCTCCCACTACCTGAATTCCATTTGAACGTATTCCAATAACAATAGTAGGAAGACAAGGTTCAGGATTAATATTCCATCCAAAAACGACAGGGGAGTCCCATAAAAGTGAATTTACAAGTTTTTCTAATTCATAAATATTGACAAATGTTGAATCTGGTAAAAGTAAGCACAATTTGCTGGGTTGTTGAGAGACTAGAAAAGATGAAAATGAATCTCTTTGGACTAAAAATGAGGGTTTTTTCCTTTAACGAGCCCAACTCGTGCACAGAAGCCTCTCCTCCACTCCCAGGCACGTAGCCAGTATTTCTCCTCTATGAACTAGGAGTGTCGCGGGCTACCAGAAACCTTTACTTTTTTAGAACCGAACCCTTTTACCCTCTTAATCACCCTTACTGAGCCGAACTTCTTTCGACCCGGAACCCGATCCGAAGAAAAGTTTAAAAGGTTTGACTTGACGTTGATTAAAAAAAAGAAAAAGTTCCAAACCTCATAGCTTTTCAAAAAACGTAACGACCAAATATTTCTCTAACTTCTTCATTATTCAAAAAATCTTTAGTTGTTGCAAATCCTCCTTCTTCTGTCTTTAATACTAAACGACCAAAAATCTTTTCGAAACCTTCTCGTTCTTTCAGTGTAAAACGTCTGTCTTTGAATAATTTGTCATAAAGGTAATGTAGCCAATAATGATTTGTTTTGCGATGGAAGGTTGACCAAACATCCCTAGAAAATTGACAAATTGAAAAAAAAATTTTGAAATGAAAATTTTGTTATACAGCCAAATCTCATTCCAGGATACCCAAAATATTGATAAACCTCTATTTTAGAGACGCTTTTAAAATCTTAAATGACTATTAAATCGAGGAGCTGCAAAGCTACTAGGCCCTCATTTAAAGTGATCTCACAATAACACTGGGGCATAGCCAGGAGGCCGACGATTTCAAGAAGGTTAAAATGGGTTGTGCGCCAAAATTTTGGCGTTTACTTTTCGTTGCCCGTCCTAAAATTTTCTCATTTTCTCCATTTCAGGAAGGGGGTGGGAAAATTTATTAATTTTTAATAAAAAATAAACAGACTCATTTAGTTCTTTCATCATCGGGTAAATTTTGTATTGATAATCATCTCCTTCTTTATATGGCGTAACAGCAAATTTAACAAAAACAGACTGTTTTGTAACATCATCTGTCATCCGAGAATTGTTGAAATCAATTAATGAAGCATGCAAACCATGAGAACGGACTTCAATTTTTTCGCCATTGTAGTAATAACTGGAAAAATAAAATTTAAAAATTTCCAAAAAAATTTCAAAAAAAACCAAATTTTATCTCGACGTTCTCTTTCTCTAGAAGTAATTTTGCTGATTAATATATTGCTGACATGTAGATCACGATGCTCAAAACAATGCCTTTCTTCAGCTATAGCAAGGGAAAGAGCGACTTGGTAAAAAATTGAAAAACGTTGTTTTTTGGTGGCCTGGAATTGTTGTTTTTTGGTGGCCTGGAAAAAAAAACCAAATATAGCAAGGGAAAGAGCGACTGCTACTGGAAATCATCTCCCAATTTTTTGTACTACATTCTTATAGAGATCATACGTACAAACATACATATTTTACAGAGGATTGGGAGATATTTAAATAAATTTCAAAAATTGATTAAAGATTGGAAAAGCGGGGGTGGCAAAAAAAACTATTTTATGTGCATTTACTTAAATCCAAAGGGTTTCTCCCCGACTCTATTTTTCTCACAGTCCAATAAAATGAAAAAATAAAGTTAAAAAATTAAACCTTTCCAGGTGTATTCGTATATAGTTCTAGATCGACTCCACCCTTTGCCATAACTAGGACAACATAGGTGTTGTCTTTGCGCTCAGTTGGTTGTTTATTTAAAGCAATCTTCGGGTTTTGTTTCTTGTATTTTTTCCACGCCTTTATAAGAATATCAGGGTAGATACCTTTTAAAAGCAAAAAAATTAGAAAAAAATTTTTTTATTAAAATTTAAACCTGTGACTACATTAGCACGGACAAGAGGTATATATGAAGGAGTTGAGAAATCACCGGCATTGTTGAGTTCTGATAAATGCCGTGTGATGAAAACTTCAGAAAAGATGACTGGTATCGGATTTTCCTCGGTAACTTGAATGACCTGGCGAAAAAAAATTTTTTAATTGAAAACTTTTCAAAAAAAATTCGAAAGTTAAGCAGTTTTTTGACAAACTTATAAAAAAAGAGAGAAAAAAATACCTTCATAGCATAAGTCCCTTTAGAATCGGATATTTCGTAGACCTCTCCATAATCTCCTTCACCGAGTTTACGAAGACATTCAAAATTAGTGCGGTCAAGGAACTCATCCCAGGTCATAATATAGCGATTGTTACAGTGCTGCAAAACATGTGTAAATTCTTGTGGCTGCCCTTTAAAATTATAAAATATATAATTTTTTGTATTTTTAAATTATTCTTAAGAAAGCAAATTAACTCTTTTGAGACATACATATTTCCGAAAAACACATATAAAGCTATTAAATAAAATTATAGGACTTTCCGGAAAAATATTTCGATAAAAAAATAAATTCCGGAAAAAATTATAGTTCTATTAAACTCTTCCGGAAAACACAAAAATAATATTTTTTCCTGAAAAATATCTTCGGAAAAATACATAAATCAGAAATAAATAAATTCAGAAAATTGCATATTCCGAAAAAGATTATGTGTATAACACAACATTTCCGGAAAACTCTCAATAAAACTTTCCAGAAAAATATTAAGGTCCTACGGAAAATTTAATAAATTTCCGGAAAAATCAAAAAAAGATCCTTTCCGAAAAATACAACCTTAATAAAGGTATAAAAACGATTGAACAAAATTTTAATTTAAAAAAATAAAATTTACTCCAAGGAGATAATGACAATCGTCGAGAATTTCGAATTGAAGCATTTCTGTTTAAATTTTCTATTGCTTGTTGTCGAGGTTGATGTTGCTGACTTGTTGATGGTGGTGGAGTATTTTCTAATTCTTCCAAATTCCTTGTAGAAATTTCTAAAAAAATAAAAATTTTTATTTGAAAAACTTAAAAAATTCCTAAATTAAAAACTTAAAAAAAAACAAGCTATACAATTCAAACTTATATAGAAGGGAAAAAATTTTCTTCCTCAAAAAATTAAGACTTTAAAATTAAAAAAATCCTAAGAAAAAAAATAAAAAATTCCGACTCGTCAACACAAATAATTTTTTAAAAATAAACCAAGTATAAAACTTGTAGGAAAGAAAACCTTCATATTCCACTATTATTTTATTAATTAAAAAACCTCTGGCTGGTGAGAATGATTTTTCAGTAGATTTGGATGTTTCTTGAATTTCCTCAAAAATCAAAACATTTTCTGACTGAGTAGCATTTATTGTTTGAGAAGCATCAAAAAAATGATGAAGCAATGTGCATGAAGAAACATCAAATGTATGTTGACGACGAAAAGAAATGTTCCTGGCAGTGTTCAAAGATGAAGTTTGTTGAATTGAAGAAGCTTCTATAATGAAAAAATAAAAATGAAAAAAATTTTTTATGAATGGGATGAGTATAAGACGTCACCCTTCGGGCTGAATTTTGTCATAAAAAAACTAAAAAATATTTTCAAAAAAAAAGATCTGACCAAAAAACTTTTTTAAAAAAAAATTTCCCAAGAAAATTTATTTAGTCAAAAATTTTTTTTAAATTAATTAAAAATTTTTTTGCAAACCCTTGGCTGTTGAAAGAGATTGCCGAATTCTAGAACAAGATTGTTGTTGAATAAAAGAAGCACTATCCAAATGAATAACATTCTGTCCTTCTTCCACTTCCTCACATACTGATGAAAAAATTCTTTTAGGTGGCAAATTGGAAGAAAGTTTCGAAGATTTTCGTGACAAATTTTTTGAAAATTCTAAAAAAAATATTTTTCATTTTACAAAAAGATTTATCAAAAAAAACCTTTGGCTGTTGACACTAATTGAATTTCAACAGATTTTGATGGTTCTTGACATTCTACTTCTATTTCTTCGTCTTCCAGTTCAGCTTCTTCATTCTCTTCCATCTCCACCCCTTGCTCTTCCACATCTCCTTCTTCCTCTTCATCATTCACTTCATCTTCTTCATCCTCCCTTTCCTCTTCATTCTCTTCCATCTCCACCTCTTGCTCTTCCATTTCTTCTTCATCTTTCACCTCATCTTCCCCCTCCTCCAATTCCTCTTCATTCTCCTCCATTTCCTCTTCTTCCTTTTCCTCTTCATTTTCTTCCTTATCCAAAACATATTCTCCTTCTTCCACTTCCAAATTAAATGATGAAGACTTTTCTGACGATTTGTGTTCCTGTTGGACTCGAGAAGTTGAGAAAATCTTTTGAGATAAATTCTTCTTTGGAGCAAAAGAGTGTGGGACAGTTTCATCTCTTGGAATATTCTCCTCTATATTTGAAGGACTTTTAGCTGTATTTAATGACAAAGATGTTTGATGATGAGAATCCCACATAGAATCAAACACATTAAATTTTGATTGAACAATAGAAGTATCTTCCAATTGAATAACTTCCCTGGATTCTTCTTCTTCCTCATTAATAAAAGAAAAAATTGTTCTTGAAGGTAATAAATTAGTAATTGATGAAATTTCTGAAGATTCTTGTGCCACATTTTTTGAAGATTCTATTTTAAAAGAAAAATTATAAAAAATTTTTAAAAAAAAATTTTTCAAGAAGAATTTTTTTTTGTTAACCCGAGAACCCCAGAGATTTGAAAAAAATTTTTTTTGTTAATCCTAGGAAACCCCAAAAGATTTTTAAAAAAATTCATTTTGTGGCAAATGTTTTTTCATTCAAAAAAATTTTTTTATTAGAAGAAAAAACCTTTAGCTGTTGAGGAACGGTGGCCACGAGATTTTGAAGTCGCTTCTTTTTCAATAGGTTGAGAAGCCATGTTCTTGGCAGTGTTTAATGCTGATTTTTGGTGAATTGAAGAAGCTTCTATAATGGAAAAAATAAAAGTTAAAAAATTTTAGAACGGAAATGAGTATAAGACGTCACCCTTCGGGCTGAATTTTTTCACAAAAAAAAATCAAAAAATATTTTCAAAAAAAGATCTGACCAAAAAACTTTTTTTCAAAGAAAAGTTCCCCAAGAAATTTATTTCTTCAAAATTTTTTTAAATTCATTAAAAAAATTTTTTTTGCAAACCTTTAGCTGTTGAAAGAGATTGCTGAATTCTTGAACAAGATTGTTGTTGAATAAAAATAACACTATCCAACTCGTCTTCAATTTCACCTTCGTCTTCAGTCTCTTCCACTACCTCATCTTCATCATTCACTTCATTTTCTCCCGCTTCCATTTCCTCTTCATTCTCTTCCATCTCATTTTCTTCCTCATCCAAAACATATTCTCCTCCCACTACCTCCACTTCCAAATTAAATGATGAAGACTTTTCTGACGATTTGTGTTCCTGTTGGCCTCGAGAAGTTGAGAAATTTTTTTGAGACAAATTCTTCTTTGAAGCAAAAGAGTGTGAAACATCCAACGGATCCAATGGATCTTCATCCAATGGAGTAACCAAATCTTCCATATTAAAAGGATTTGCATCAACTACTAAATTAAAAATAAAATTTTAAAAAAATTCTAAAATTTCAAAAAAAAACCTTTAGTTAAATCTTTTGTTGATAAAGGTTTAGGTGTCGATAGAACCTTTGGTGTATTCGAAGCAGAATGAAGTTGCTGTTGAAGTTTGACACTAGTGTATGAAGTTCCAAACAATGATGAGGACCCACTTAATGTTTTAAATGAACCAGTAGTTTGTGAAAATCCTTCTGGGGTATTTTGAAGATCTAGTTCCTAAAAAATTATAAAAAAGTAATAGAAAAAGAAATTTCATTTTGAATGTCTCCAAAGACTCATAAAAGCTCGTATCAAAAAGAAAAAATTCCTATAGCATCGGATGGTTTCGATCCATCGACCTCTGGGTTATGGGCCCATCATGCTACCACTGCGCCACGGAATGGAGAACAAAAAATAAAAATATGTACATGCGAGAAAAATAGACAGAAAATAACCGTTCTCTAATATTTCATAACTCACAATCAGTCTCCCCAAATTTTAATGGAAAAAAATATTTTTAAAGCAAACCAAATTTGTCTGCGGAGTTGATATTTGAATTCCACCAATTTCTCTTTCACCTCCATCCTTAGAACTCTTTTTAGGCCCAATTTTGTACTGGCGTAGAAGCTTGCATTCACTGACATCGCTAGAAGTAGGCAATGAGTACCAGAAAAGATAGCCTTCCATACTCGCAACAATTAAGTAATCAATTTCCTAAAATTTATTTTTTGATAAAATTATGTAAAATTAAAAAAAACCTGAACTTTAGGCATAGCCACAACTGTTTTATGTCCAAGTATAGGCAGTTTAGCTATCGCAAAAATTTTTCCCCTCTCCAATTGAGGATCAAGTTTAGCCAAGGAGAACACATGAACAGTTTCGGTGTTTGATGAAAGACACAAAAATCGAGAATCTTGGGAGAAGGCAAGAGAGCTTATTTGAACACAGCGACTGACTCCACAGACAAATTCAAATAGACGTTCTCCACCAGGAATTGAGAAAACACGAATCACAGTTCCCTTAAATTGAGAATATTTTAAAGAATCTAGAAATAAATTTTGATAGTAAAGGGAATTCAGGGAAACCCAAAATATCCCACTTATCAAAAAAGTAAAGGGGAGGGGGCACCTAAAAAGATGTATTGCCTGTTTTATCAACGTAAACATTAGATCTTTAGGGCCATTAAAGTATCAAAAAATAAATCCAATAAATCCTTAAAAATAATCAAAGTTCAAAACCTCCTCTGATCCTGTAGCAAGTTTGTCTCCTTCCGGGTTGAATTTAACAGCAGCCAAAACACTATCATGGGCAGTAATTTGACAAACAGTAATTAAATTCCTGGCATCAAAAATATGTCTAAAAAATAAAAAAATAAATTCAAGGTTATAGGTGAAAAATTATTGATTCTAACAAGGAAAATCTTTTACTGCACTGCTAATTTGATACATTTTTTAGAACATTCAATAAAGAACCCTCGACTTACTATTGTGAAGTGATATCCGTTTTCTTGCAAAATCACTTTGGGCCGAGTTATGGCCAGTCAAAGTTTAACGTTAGAGTCTGGAATTAAAGGGTAAATGAGTAACTTCTCCTTCTTTTTCATCCTCAAAAAACCTCCAGCCTCTCTTCTTTTGTTTATCGTGTGTGATACACCAAGACTTTGAACGGCCGTAACTCGGCCCAAAGTGATTTTGCAAGAAAACCTATATCACTTTACAATATTAAGTCGGGGGTCCCCTATCGAATAATATCACAAATATATCAAATTCGCATTTACAGCAAAAAAAATCTCCTTATAAGTTAACAGTCCTTACACATGTCCAGTGTTTGAAGAAGCAGGAAAGGCAAGGAAGCAATTGTTGTCATCAATTGAAAGATCCACAATTCCTTGGGGATTTGATGGAATATCGAGGGATTGAGGGGATTGTAATTTCTATATTTAAAAAAATTTTCCAGAAATTTAAAAATAAATAAACCTTCATGCTGACAATTTTGTGAATGTGAATAGTATCCTCCAAACAGACCACAACCATCTTAAATTTAAAATATTAAACAATTAATGGTAAAATAACTACAAACCGCTTTATTTATTCGGACAGCAAGTATATGGTCAGGGTACGTGTAAGACCACCTTACTTTCAAAATCTAGAATATGTTGAAATTTAACCAAAAAATAAAATCCGATTTAGTGGCAATCCCGGGGGTCTCCATTTAGTGGCAATCCCGGAGGTCGACCCCCCTTTCTTTGCCCCACAATTCCTCAATTCACTGACAAGCTAACGGGAGGATTCCTAAACTCGGGGATTCTAAATAAATCTAAATGTAAGGCAAGTCCGCAAAATATTTCCATAAAAACTTGTTTGGGATAACCCACAACTACCAAATTAGATCGAAGACAATAATCAATAAACTATAATAAACCTTTAATTTTTCTTTATTGTTCATCGAAGAATAAGTTATCAAAGATTTATTAAACAGCCTCTCAACAATAAAAGGACAAGGAGCTAGAAAAAATATTTTTAATGAAAATATAGATAAAAATAAACTTGAATATTCCTGTATTTTTTCAAGTTTATCAATTGAGTGAAGAGAGTAGAAACAAAAGCCATCCTCATGTCCCACCGCTAAACAAGTGCAATCCTGATTGAATGAGGTAGAATAAATTTTCTTTCCAGGTTCAATGTCCATTTTGTTTACTTAAATTAATTAAAAATTAGATGTTCTAGAAAAAACGATGGGGCTTAAGATCTCTAGAAAAGCTTGGCGCAATATATAAAAACATATCCCAAAATGGTTCTACTCCGTTGTCCTTACGTGTTTTTGCGGACTTTTTTTGCGGACATTTTTTTATTCCTCAATTTCAATCCATTCCCCTGTGACACGCTTAAATAATGGACATTAATAATAAATTTATCGGTGGAACTGATCATTATGCGCGTATTTGCGGAAGAAAATGTCCGCAAAAACACGTAGGGATAACGGATTAGCACCCAGGAAATTTTTTCGAAAGGCAGAGGCTAAGGTTAATTTTATGCTAAATCTTCTCTAACCTTGAGTCTTTCCTCCAAATTTGGATTTAATAGCAGCTTCCTTAGCCTCATCAAACACTTTATTGTCAATATAAGAATTGCACGGATAACACCAAACAGAAAAGTCAGCAAAGCTTAAAGCAAGTGGATGTTTCGTCTCTTCTGTGTGAGTCAAAGCGTGTCCCTCAACATAACGAGAGCAATAGACCTTTTAAAAAAATAAATTTAGTAAATGAAGAAAAAATTTTGGTCAAATCAACAAGAAAAGCAAAATTAATTTTTGCAGATAAAATTTGCGGACAAAAATATTTTTGCAGAAAATTAGTCTGCAAGTGAGATACCCTCTCTCAAGTACCCAAGCTAACTTCAAAACAAAATAAAAATTTTAAAAATTAACCTCAAAACATTTAAGACACACCCAATTCTCGCCAGTATTTGAACATGTGTTGCAAGCAGCTTTAGTGTTGAGTCCATCAGAAGGCAATTTACTATCCTAGAAAATTTAAATTAATAGTAAAAATCATTATTTTGAAGAATCCCAGGTTGTTCTTATAGTCGGGCCTGCTATAAGCTACCCACGAATCAAATACTTCACTCAGTTTAAGACACATTTAAATAACGCTAGTCGTGGAAGGGAGCTGTTTAATCGATACAAACAATTCAAGGAACGTACAAAACGAATTTTCAGCCGCTATTGGGTATCTTAAAGAGGGTGACTTATTCAAAGTAATTGAATGTCCTTGAAAATCCCCAACAAAATTTAAAAAAAAACCGCAATTTGTCCCAAATGTGGACACGTCTTAAGTGGCGTCACCGCAAAGAATTCTTGTGGCTTCTCTCCTTGTTCACTGTCAGAGGAAATCTCGATCAATTGTTCAGTTGTCATTTTTTAATTTTATTTGAAGATTGAAAATATATTTGAAGATTGAAAATAAAGAACTGAAAAAAAAATAAATTTTATAGCAAAAATTAACAAAAAAAATTGGTGACAATTTATCTCAAAAATTTTTTATTGAAGACCCATTAACATATCTAGCAACAAGCTGTTTAAAATCCCAACTATATCCCTACAAAAACAAGAGTTAAGAAAAGCTAAAAAACAAAAAGTAAATTCAACAGAATCCTTACTGAAAAATAGTATTTCTTAGAATTTGAGACTCAACTAACACGTTAAACAAAACGCCAAAAAATTAGCTAGAGTCTTAAATGTTTTGAAGCGAAAATGACAGTAACCCTAAAAAAATAGCATGTGAAAAAAATAGAGCGAAAAGAAAAAGAGAAAATTCAGTCTGCACTGAAACGACTAAAAGTAACTGGCTAATCTGCTGTGCCGTTTCAGCATCGATTCGCCGTATCACGGGGAAGCTTATTTTGATCAAATTTTTCAGTTAATCAACCGAAAGAGTGATCAATTAATTTCAAGTATTAATTCTTCACTAAGGTGATTGATATCGGTGTCGTTTTTCGCTCTCGTTTGGTCACTCTTCAGGTTGACGATCTCTCGGTTTTCGATTCGATATTTTTCAACTTTTTCCGATTTTCAATTTCCAGGATGTTGGATCCATGATTTTGGATAATCAACCTTTTCCTTCTTATCAACCTTTTCCTTAACCTACTTTTTGAAATGTTATTTGTATCTATTTTAATGTTTTCCCCTTTTTATTTAAATTATTCCCCCAAAACATATTTTAAATGTTTATTTGCCTTTTATCATTTTACAACATTTCCCCAAAACATTATTTGAATTTATTTTTCTTTTTCTTATTAACCTTTTCCCTAACCTACATTTGAAATGTTTATTTGCCTTTTTAAATATTCACCCTTTCATACTTCCCGCCCTTTGTCACTTATATAAATATGTAGCTTTTCATATAATCTAGTTTTTTTCCTGTTCGATAGCCTCCAGTTTTTCTAAAAATTCTCTTTAAATTCAAAATTACGTTCATTTTCTAATATACTTTTTTTAGACAGATTCTTTAAATTCGACAAGACCTGATTATTTTAAATATGGCTATGTCTGTACCAAAGTCGGGTTATGCCCGTTTTATGAAGGAAGGCGCAATGGTTTATTAATTTTTTTTTGAAAATTTTATTTTTCATCATTCAGCATTTCAAAGGAATGGAGGAGGCTGTCTCTCGAAATATTAAAGCTTGCATGGAATTAGCTTTGCAAACCCGTTCTTCATATGGGCCTAATGGTTTTTATTTTTTAATATTTTTAAGAATCTAAGGATTGACGTGATTCTCTTACGGGATTTATTGCTGACTTTCTCTTTCTATTTTGCCAGTTTCATTTCCTGGGTTTTGAATGAGTTCAAATTTTTCGGAAAATCAATTGATTGATATACTTTCTAAGGATACCTAAAGCCCAACTAAGTTATTGACTGAAAGGTCCGCAAAAAAAGTCAGCAGGAATTCCAACTCTTTAAAATCGTCTAAATTTATCTTTAAAGGAATGAATAAAATGGTAATTAATCGCCTGGAAAAATTATTGGTCACAAACGACGCTGCTTCAATTCTCAACGAATTAGAGGTCCACCATCCTGCTGCTCGTATTCTAGTCCTGGCCGCTCAAATGCAAGAAAAACAAATTGGTGATTGCACAAACATGGTTGTGATTTTTGCTGCTTCTTTGTTGGAACAGGCTTCGCAGTTGCTTTCTATGGTTTGTTTTATTCTGATAAAAATTCTGAAGCAAGGGGATTCTTTGGATATCAGTTTGAAATACGGGGCAGAGTTTTAAGCTCTTTATAAGCAAAGCTAGTCATCATCCGATAATTCAATCGGTGAAGCACCTGTACGTGGTTAGCAGGACCTTTATGGTTACAATAACTGCTAGAAGGTAGCTGGTTCGGTTCTTGTCCATGACTAAAAGGAGGGTTTTTTGTAGAGGGGTTTCTGACTATATCTAATAATTCTCAATTTTTTAAAAACAGGGAATTAAACCGATCGAAATTGCTTCTGGATATGAAAAAGCGTTGGCTAAAGCTGAAGAAATTCTACCAAAATTGGTTATTGGGAAAGCCGAGGATTTGTACAACGTGCATCTCGTCAAAACTTACCTACTCCCGTCAATTACTTCGAAACAAGCTGGAAACCATGATTTTGTTGCTGGATTGGCTGCTGATGCTTGCGGTAAGGTTTTTCTCAAATTTTATAAAAATTTAATTTTTTAGTTAAAACTGCTCCACAAAATGTTTACAATTTCAATGTTGACAACATTAGAATCTGCAAAATTCTTGGTGCTGGCGTTTCTTCTAGTTTTATTGCAAATGGAATGGTTTTTAAAAGAGAAGCTGAGGGAGAAGTTAAACAGGCAACAAATGCTAAATTCGCAATCTTTGCTTGTCCTTTTGATTTAACACAAACTGAAACGAAGGTTTGGGAATTTTTAAGAATATTTGCCAAAAATTGGGTAACAAAGGGAAATAGGGAGGTAAATGGGGGGAATTCTTAAGGGTATTCTACAACTGCCTATTTTTATTTTTGACATTTTATAAAGATCAGTTGACCTTTTTTCAATTTTAGGGAACTATATTGATGAATACAGCCGATGATTTACTCAAATTTAGCAATACAGAAGAGGCTAGTGTTGAACAAAAAGTAAAGGAGATGGCGGAAGCTGGTGTTTCTGTGGTTGTTGCTGCCGGAAAATTTGGGGACCTTTACATTCATTTTTTGAACAAATACAAAGTTATGGGTGTTAGGTTTATTTGAATATTTTGTTTTGAAAATGTATTTTTTAAATAGATTGACGTCAAAATTCGATTTACGCCGCCTTTGCCTCACTTTGGGCGCGCAAGCTCAAGCTATTATTTGTGCTCCACCAGAGGATTCCTTGGGGAAGTGCGACAATGTTTTTATTAAGGAGATTGGAGATACTCAGGTTTTTTTGTTTAAAATTGGGTTTGGTTAATCAATTTTGTATTTTAGACGGTTATTTTTGATAAACAATCAGCAGCTTCCAAAGTGGTAACCGTCATTGTAAGAGGCTCTTCTCAATCTATTTTGGATGATGTTGAACGTGCAATTGATGATGGAGTCAATATTTTTAAGGCTTTAACTAAAGACAATCGGGTTTGAAAAATTTTTTCTTATTCTTTTTAAACTACTAATATAGGTGGCCCTTGCTGTAAGATAACCCCCGGGCCTAAGACCTTATCTTATATTGAGGTGTTTTTAAATACTGGGGATCGATAATGTAAGGCGATCTTCTTTGGGATATCATATTTAAGTGAGGTCTGACTGACTTAAAAAAATGTTAATTTTTTTATTTGATAATAAAAAAATCTTTAGTTATTGGCCGGTGCTGGTGCAACAGAAATTGAATTGTCCCGTCAAATTCAACTTTTTGGAGAAACTCAATCTGGACTTGAACAATATTCAATTAGAAAATTTGCTACAGCGTTGGATGTTTTACCAAAACAATTGGCTGAAAATTGTGGAGTGAAAACTACAGAGGTTTTGGCTAATTTGTATGCTGCTCATCAAAATGGATCAACTAATGAAGGAATTGATGTTTTAAATTCAATGAAAACTACAGAGGCTTTGGCTAATTTGTATGCTGCTCATCAAAATGGATCAACTAATGAAGAAATTGATGTTTTAAATTCAATGAAAACTACAGAGGCTTTGGCTAATTTGTATGCTGCTCATCAAAATGGATCAACTAATGAAGGAATTGATGTTTTAAATTCAATGAAAACTACAGAGGCTTTGGCTAATTTGTATGCTGCTCATCAAAATGGATCAACTAATGAAGGAATTGATGTTTTAAATTCAATGAAAACTACAGAGGCTTTGGCTAATTTGTATGCTGCTCATCAAAATGGATCAACTAATGAAGGAATTGATGTTTTAAATTCAATGAAAACTACAGAGGCTTTGGCTAATTTGTATGCTGCTCATCAAAATGGATCAACTAATGAAGGAATTGATGTTTTAAATTCAAAATTGGTTAATGCGAAAGAAACTGGAATTTATGATTTGTTTAATGGAAAATTGTGGGCTTTAAAATTGGCTACAAATGCTGCTTGTAGTATTTTGAAGATTGATCAGGTTGTTTTTAAGTTTTCTTTATTATCAAACCTTATATAGATACCCTTTGGGTTGAAAAAATTATACAGCTTGTGATGAGGGGTATTTTAAATTGGGAATATCGCCTATGTAGTTACCCCACCAAACGCTACTTTAAATTTTACAAATGTATATTTGGTTGAAACGACTTTCATATAGGCAGGCCCGTAACCAGGACCTTTTTGAGAGAGGGGATGGGGGATCATTTTGAGATAGCTTTTTGAGCTTTAAAAATTCTCTATAAAATTTTAAAAAATTTTTAAAGAATCATGGCTAAACCATGTGGTGGACCTACTCCACGAGGACCTAAAGCACAAGATTAGGATGATGACGATGGGGCTGGAATGGCTTGAAATTTTTGTTAGATGAAACAATACATAATGACGTCAGGGACAAAAAATTTTGGTTTTTATTTTTTAAAATTTTTTGAAATTTTTTTTAATTAAAAATTGTTTGCCATTTTTGTTATACACGTTTTTTTGGATTTTTTTTTTGTTGTAAATTTTGAATTTAAAATTATTTTGGAACAAATTTTTAGGTTATAAGTCGTCACTAAAAGACACGAAAAATTATAAACCTTAAGTATTCTGTAAATAACCTGGTCAATAAATCTTTTTTTTTCACCAGGCATCACTTAATTTAAAGTTAGCAGATGCAAAAACGATTTTATTTTTAGTCTAATATTTTTGCCACATATAACCAATTAATTAGATTAATCAGAGTTTAATAAAAAATGTGTTAAGTTAAAATTAGGCGAGAGAGTTTTCCGCAAAACCAAAGATCTGAAGTTTTTCTTTTCGGGCTGGGTTAACCGAAAGAATTTGGTGAAGCTGAATTCTATAAGTTTAAATAGAATTATATGGGACACGCCCAAGTAGGCGCGCGGCCAAGTAGGCGCAAAGCCATAACTACCTGGAAAATTTCTGGACTTTAACAATTTTGGTACCAATCTCTTTAGACAATGAGGAACCGTTTAATGCTAAATTTTGAAAGATTCAAAAATCTTGAAGCAAGTTATGGCTTTGCGCCTACTTGGCCGCGCGCCTACTTGGGCTGTACCCGAATTATATATAAGTTTAAATATTACATATAAGTTTAAATATTTATAGTATGTGTATATACTTCAATTTCAACGAGATTTTTTGTGTAATAAAATTAAAATTTTCACTTTTTTTCTTTTTAAAAAAGTACCTTTTACATATTTCCCATTTTTATTTTTGAATAAACTTTAAAAAAATTTTTTGATTTAATTAAAATGATTTTTTAATCATTAAAATTATTTTTTAAATAAAATTCTTTCTATTTTAATCTCCAATTTACAGACTAAATTTCAATTTTTCAATTAGATTTTTTAAAATAATGAGCAGCCAGGATGGAAAAATTATTGAACACGAGGTAGTTAAATATTTTAAAGAGGTTTTTAATTAATTTTATTTTGAAATTAAAAAATATTCTTAGGAAGAGCAATGGTATTGGACCATTGGTACTGAATGGTACCAGACCCTTTCAACCCTTTCAATTGCTGAAGACAAAGTGCCTGATGCTGTTAAAAATAAGAAGCTTGAGAAGATAAACATTCCATTGGAAATTCAACTTGATGTGCTTAAATGTCTCGACTTCAATCAATTATTGTCTTTCCAAGAAACAAGTTTTTATTTCAAAAAATTTATTGACAAATATGAGAAGCAATTGGCAAGGAAGAAATACGACAAACTTGAAATTGTAAATTTTTTTATAAATTCTAATAATGCACTGGGCCTGGCTTTATTCAGCCGGATTTTTTAGACGGGGTTTCTTTTTTTTACGGGGTTTCTCTCTCAATTTTCGAATATTTTCGGCTCGTATTAATTCTGAAAAGTCAGGGCTCAAAAATTGCTTGTGATCCAAAATACGGTTTCTGGACTCAAAAAATGATTTTTCATGCTCTCTAATAATTATTTTTTAAGATTCATTCTTATCAATTAGATAAACAATACAGAAGGCATAAAGATTATAAGCCATATCCTGAACTTTATTGCTTGAAATTGGATGAAAATGTGAGTCTTTGTGACCACGATGAACCTTGTGAGAATGATGGATGTTGTGAGTTTGAAGGATTTTGTGAATGGGATTATGAATTCATTAAACTGGAACCTCAACTTTACGATTTTGAGTTGAGTGAACAACTTGAAGAAAAGGTTTTTTTAAAATTAACGTCTTCATTTTAAACTTTAGATTTTAGTGGATGACTGGAATAGAAAACTCAATTCCTATGTTTTTAACAATTAACGACGACTCGGCCATCGATACTATTTTCTGCGAATTGCAACATGATTACAAAGTGGATAAAGGTTATTATTTGAGGTTATAAGATTAGTGTTTGGACGCTCATAATAGAATTCGTGCTTATAGCAAAAAATTGAGCAAAAAATGGATATAAAAATGAGGGTTGTTCACTACCGGTTATTAACCGATATTCTGTAACCGTTCTTTAAGTTGAACGTGAGGGACCCGGGGAAAACCGTGAATTCCTGTTCCCGGTTTCATCCCTGTTGCTTCAAAAAAACTGGGAAAAGGAACCCGAAAACCGGGAATGGGTTTTCGCCAGTTTTTGGCCCCTGGTTTTCGGTTTATTGACCAAAAACACCGGTTTCGGTTAGCCGACGGTGAAAAACACTAATAAAAATCGAACAAAGCTTTTCAATATAAGCTATTTAGGAAATAACATTTTATGTTTATTGTTAGCCGAAAGAAACTTGGCATTTAAACGTTCCTAAAAATTATTCTCCAATCATTAAAAATTTTTATTTAGCATTATACTATTTACAATTGTCATTGTTTCCAAAAAATTTAGTGGAAATGAAAATTATTCGCTATTTACTGCAACTATTTTTTAACTGTGCTTTTGAATATTTTCAAATTGATGAATATGTAATTAATCCACAAATGATTAAATTATTATTTGATGAAGATAAAACAACAAATCTACCATTACAACTCCATTCTCAAAGGGCAAAATTATTTCTCGAAACTCATCATTCTTTAAATTTTGCTTTGAACCATCTGATTTGTAATCAATTTAAAGTTCATATTTTTGATTTGTACAACCACGGCGATACAATTGGATTTTATAGCTATTTCGACTTGGAAAATAATATAGACACCTTGATTAAAATTTTGACAAATGAAGGAAATAAACTTTTTAATATTACTTATGAGAATCTTGATTCGAGAATTTACAATTCTATTATAAAGGTGTGTACTTTTTTATATTATATTTTACATACCATATATGCTCGAATAATTACCCTGGGTAATTATTGTTTCAACTTCTCGCTAGACGGGGTAATTATTTGAGAAAGAGTAATTATTTGAGCTTTTTTTAAACAGGTTAATTATAACTATTTTTAGGAGGGGTAATTATTTTTTCAACCTCTCGCTACATGGGGTAATTAATTGAGAGGGGGCAATTATTTGAGAGAGGGTAATTATTCGAGCATATACGGTATTTACAGAAAGAATTGTCTGGGGGGGGGGGGGGGGGGGTAAACAAGTATCCATTAGGAATAAGGACCGGATCGATACGGATATTATCGAACGACCTCTAATGTCCTGTCTATAATTAGGAAGCTTCTGAAATGTACTGCAAGATACACCTTTAATTTTATTTTAAAATTTAATTTTAGCACATAGAAACATCGCAAGACCCTTCTCAAATGGCGAAAGAAATTAAATTTGATCGTATGTATGGATCTCTTATTTCAAGTGAAAATGTAGAAAACATCAAAACCAAATTTAAAGAAGGCATTAAAACAACAAAATTTCAACTTTCAAACAACCACAATCCAAAAATTAAATTTTCTGTTTACATTGAAGATAAATATAAGCATATTGATGTGTCACATTTTGAAAGAGATAAAAAGTATGTGCCTGGAGTTAGAGTTGTGATTAAGAAAATTAATTGATAAATTTATTTTTTTATTCGGTGTTTAGGCCTTTTATCGTGCCCATTTTTATTTTTGAATAAACTTAAAAAAATTTTTTTTCATTCATTCGATTTTTGATTTGTTTTTTAAACAATGTTTATATTTTTAATTTTTTTTTCAATTTATTTTATTTTTTAATTATTTTCTCACACACGCGCGAAAAAAATTTATACGGGAATTTCTCCTATGCTTTTCAGCTAGAAAAATTGATTTGAATCATATGGAAAAAATTCTCAATCGATTTTTCTTCCCTCTTAAAAAGGCCTATTTAACGTTGATTAAAGCTTCTACCCCTTCTATTTCTTTAAATGGGCAATAACCTTGAGATTTTTTAGGGGATGGGAAAAAATTATTTTAAGAGAGAGAAAAGGAAGATAAATTTTTAAATGGGGTTTCGCGCGTGTGACAACCAATACCTGATGGAAATTTTTAAAGGCTTCAGAAAAAAAAATTTCAAAATTTTTTTTCTGAAAATTGTTCGAGGTTTTCAAAATTAAAAATTTTTTTGAAATTTTAAAAATTATTTAAAATTTTTTAAAGGTTTTTCAAATTTATAATTCAAAAAAGACTAATTATGAATAAACTACAACAAAAATTTAATTTTCCACAGTCTGATCATCATATAAATCGACTCTTCAGCAATCTTAATCTTCGTCATCAAGGACCTCAAAGATCGGACAAAGAAGTACAATTTATACCTCCATGGGAGACTAAAATTGGGCAGCTTCAACAAGTTGTGCGCTCCCTTCGTCAAAATGCGGATACTTATCTTCAGAATCGGTTTGCTATTTTTTAAATTTTGGGGAGGGAATAAGGAGTAAGATCCAAAGCGGGGTTATTAATTAAAGACCGAATCGCGGCGAAATCTCGAAAATCTCTGGTTGTCCAGCTCCGTGATCTTGGGATTTTTTGCATGTTTCTCTTATGACACTCCTACTCGGTTCTCTAATTTAAATTTTGTTTTTCGGGGTTTCGGAATCTTTTGGGGGTTTGGAATCAAGTTATGTGTGTGTCTTAAGCTGTTTTTTTTTGAAACTTGTGAGGGGCTTGGAATAATTTTCCACAAAGGTGTGACTATAATAATTATTTTTTTGGATTTTGGAACAGATTAAGTTTTTTGTTCTTGTTTCCCTCTAACATAAGTAGTACCTTATATTAAGCTCACAATTAGTGTCTATAATTCCCTATTTTCATTTTTCAGTGGCTCAGTAATTGTTCGCTGTTATCCATTTAAGAGTCAATATTACTATATATGAATATTGTTTATGATCTTATACGAAATTCAATTGCTGCTGTCAACCACTATGGACGCACTCGTTTTGATGGAGAAATTACGCCTATACTTATTCAATCATATAATGTTTGTTTTAAAATTTTTAAAAATTTTTTGAAAATTCCTGTGATTTTTAAGGGAAATGTCAATCCAATTGTTTGTACTCCTATGCCCGCGCCAATTTATATTCCACCCGAACGTTTGACGGATGTCATACTTTTGCGTGTCCATTTTAATTTTCCTCGGCTCTATATTTTTTACAAACGTTTAATCGGTTAGTTTATTTGTTGAAAAATTGTAAGGAGGGAATATGGAAGGGATCATAGATGGGTTCCAATATCCTTTTTTGGGTGTTGGTACAGGTAGTTTGTAAAAAAATCCTTTAGGCGGGGAATAACGTGCCTTCCCTTTTAAAGGTAAAAAGTATGTGAAGAAGGTTCACCTTCACTTGAGGTAGTGATCTTTCCTTTCGAAAGTCCTATACCGGTTCTATTTTTCGTTTTTTTTTTGGATTTTGGTAAGGTCCTAAGTTCCTTTTGTAATTCTTTTCGATTATCTGGGGAATTAGCCTTTAATGATTTACATTCCGTTATTTAATTTTCGTCATTCCGATTGCTTTCCTAAAAAATTCTCTTGAAATTTTTTCTTTATTTTCCAGCACTGTTTTTAATGTATTTGATCGACATGCTGTAAAAGTTCATTTTGTTCACGCTGATTTGACTCGTCCTGAACGTTTACTTCGCAATCGTTTGCAACAAATTTGTCAACAAAAGAATGCTGGACGTTTTAGCTCTGCGGTTTTTTTAAATTTTTTAAAAATTTATTTTTGACTTTTTTTAATTTAGCCTCCTATGCCAGAGCAAAATGATAATTATAGTTATGGATATTATCGCAATTTGTGTCAAACCGGAGAACGTTATTTCCATAATGGAATACAACTTTATAAGGTTTCTTTAATTTTTGGGAGTTTTCAAGAATTTTTTTAATTTAAGGAATATCCAGGTAGACAAACTGAACCTGTACCTTTTCAACCATTTTCTGAATTGCAGTATTTGCATGTTATAGTTGCTTCGCTTCGTAAATTTGCAGTGATATACAACCAGAAGGAGTAGGATTTTTTTGTTTGATTAGTATTTTAGAGTTAATTATCCACAAATCCATATTAGCTTTACACCTTCATAAAAACATTCTAATACTGTGTTGTTGGTTCTTTATGTAATCCTTTCTTAAGTCGTTTAATATCCTTTTTTGCTTAACGCTTATAAGGAATAGCTTTTCTGCTTCACCCTTCTTAAGTTGTTTCTTTTTTGGGACACCATTCTCCTTTCTTACGTCGTTTCTGGCTGCTTCACCTTCATTTATTTCCTATTTGACCTTTTTGACAATAAGTCGTTAAATTTGCTTCACCTTTCTTGACTCGCTTCCTATTTTATTCACCTACTTAAGTCATTTCCTATCCTTTTTTGCTTCCTTTTCGGAATCTTTAATATATATTTTACCATCAGCTATATTTTTTAAATATCATATTCTCAAAAAAACCATTTCAAATAAAAATTCTTTTTCCTTTAGATGTTCAGTAATTATCCAAAATGTTGATCTCGATAATGGGAGTGATAACGATGTTGAACGAATTACTACATTGGTCTATAATGTAGTCAATACACAATTGTTTAAAGAACGTTTTCGTGATCTTCAGGTTTTTTTGACAAATTTCGGAGGGTTTTTAAGAATTTTTTTTTAATTTTTAGAAGCTTCATAAAGGAATATGTTCACCCCAAACAAATTCCAATTCTTATTTGCCTATTAAAATTGAACGTGTTGAACGTCTTCCACAACCAAATTTGAATAATAAAAATGGAAAAGAAGGAGGAGGAACAACAACAAATGTGGATAATTCAACAATGAAGAAAAGAGGACGTCCACCACTTATTCGTACATCTTTTCGAAATAAGGAAGCGGCACAAGCATTTTGTCAACTTTTTAAGGTTTTTTGAATAATTTTAAAATTTTTTTTTATTTTGAATTTTTGGGGAGATGGGAGAGGGAATTATTCCTTTTTGAAATTCTTCCATTAATGCGAGTCGAACTCTCGTCCCTTTGGTTTGAAAATATTTTTCCCACTACACCATAGATTAGTTGTCCCACTACGCACGAGTGTAGAGTGGTTTCGTTGACCGGTGGTGGTGTTTTGTAGGGCTGTTGGCAACAGATTAATTTTTGATCTTTGTGGCTCAAACGTGGTGCCTCCGACATTTTGGTTTCTTCACTTGAGGCGGTGAAGAAGGTGACTTTCCCTTCCCTTTCTCACATCAGATGTGAAGGAAGCTGAGGGAGGACATTCTATATATGCCACATTTTTTTATTTTTAAATTTTTTTCCACTCGTCAACAACCCAATTTATTAATTTTTCCACATTTTACTTCTTATTCCCTCAACAATTTTTGATATTTTTTATTTTTAAAGGAATGTAAAAAATTGACAGAACAAAAAGAATATGATGATACTCATGATGGAGAAAATTCTTCTGATTTTAATTCATATTCTGATTTATCTGAATCTGAAATATTTATTGGAAAAGGAGAAGGAGAACAAAACAAGGAAAAAACTTTATCATCAAAGAAGGAATTTTTTTTATCTATTCAATGTTTCCGTCCCTGAAGACCTACAACTTTTGAAAGTGAATATTTATCGAGGAATAAAGGAGATATCGATAGATTTAATTGATTCAGGGGATAAAGATTTCTACACCCAGTGTTATTGTGTACAGTCATAATACCACACCATAGATCCTACTTGCATATAGTTAATTTAATCCTAGATATACCCTTTTTAAAGTTGTATGTAGGTCTTCAGAGTCAATAGCCTGACCTTTATTTAAACTTTATTCTAAAAAATATTTGTTAGTTATGCAATAGAATCATTTATGGGTATGTTCTGTACTCCAATGGCAGATTTATGGAATAAATTAATTTTAATTAAAATTTTTCGTTCATATGTTGAACTTCAAGCAAAAGATTTGTTTACGCGGTTGGATTTTGATACTTGGTTAACAAATGCAATTTATGTAATTAATTACCGCTTTTAATTTATTTTTTTATTTTTTAGCATCCAAGAACAACAATAAAAGAGAAGCTCGAATTAATTTTGATTTTTAATGAGCTAGTTAATCATTAAAAAAAGGCTTTTTTGATCATTCAAAGATAGAAAAAAATGAAAATAAATTACATGTTAATCTTGAAAGAAGGAAACAACTTTTATTAACTAAATTAAAAATAAATAAACAAAAGGTTTTTAATTTTATCATAGATTTTAAATTTAATTTATCTTTAGATAGTTGAATATTTAAGAACTAATTTGTGTTTTGATATCGAAAATGATGTAAGAAGAAGAGACGAAATTGTTTTAGAATTATTAGATAATGAAATTATTTAAGTGAAACAAAAATTGTTTATTTTTTACATTATTTTTTGTTACTCTACATATTTATGTATTGTTGTCTTAATTTTAAAAATAAAGTTTATTCTTAATTAATAACATCGAATTGACCACCCTTGAATATAAATTCCCTCCTTTCATTGTCAATGATTCGGTGGCATTTTGCAAGGTAAATCATTCATAAGAGAAAACAGGATTTTAATAATCTAAAGCTCAGCACGACAAAATATTTAAAGAAAACACGAGAGAAAAACTAGTAGCGGTGTTAATTGCGGATATATTAGTGATATGCCCAAGAATATGTAGTTTATAAGTTGTTAGGAGGTTGGGACTTTAAAAATGTATGATTTGAAAATATTTTTGAATATCAATTCAACACAAGTTCTAAATTAGGATGACAGATTTACGTCTAAGTGTTCAATAAACATGTAAGCACGTATGTATTTATGTATAGACTAACTATATCACAGAGTAAAAATGTGATACCGAGAAATAGCAATCTTTTCAACATTCGCTTAATTTATTCAAATTTAATTAAAAATAATCAGCTGATATGTAGAAGCTGTAGTATTTTAAATTTAATAATGAATCCTTTTAAGTATACAAAAAATAGCTAAGGACAATAATATATCTTTATGAGCATTTTGATCATTTTTAACAACAAATATAAATGTATTGCTAATTTTTTGTTGGCAATTTTTTGTTGTTCATCTCACCTTAGGTGATGATAGAAGAAGGAACAAAAATTCCCTGAGAAGATGAATGAGGTGACCTTCCCTTTCAATGTTGAATCAAGATGAAGGAAGGGTCCTATTTTTCAATTCCCATTCAAAAAGAAGCTGTGTTTAAGTGGATTTTTAAGGAGCCACTCATTATAAGCCCAGATACAATTGTTATGATGGATCCAAAAAAATTATTATTTTTTTAGGTATCTCGAACATTCAACAGGAGCGGGTCTTGTGGTTTCGAGTAGTTCAAAGGATTGTTGTAGCTCATTCGATAAAGCATTAAAAGATGTATGTAATACCTAGTTTTGGAATGTTTTTAATAACTTTTGAAAAAAATTTTATGATGGATCCAAAAAAATTATTATTTTTTTAGGTATCTCGAACATTCAACAGGAGCGGGTTCTGAGGTTTCGAGTTGTTCAAAGGATTGTTGTAGCTCATTCGATAAAGCATTAAAAGATGTATATAATACCTAGTTTTGGAATGTTTTTAATAACTTTTGAAAAAAATTTTATGATGGATCCAAAAAAATTATTATTTTTTTTAGGTATCTCGAACATTCAACAGGAGCGGGTTCTGAGGTTTCGAGTTGTTCAAAGGATTGCTGTAGCTCATTCGATAAAGCATTAAAAGATGTATATAATACCTAGTTTTGGAATGTTTTGAATAACTTTTGAAAAAATTTTTATGATGGATCCAAAAAAATTATTATTTTTTTAGGTATCTCGAACATTCAACAGGAGCGGGTCTTGTGGTTTCGAGTAGTTCAAAGGATTGTTACTGCTCATTCGATAAAGCATTAAAAGATGTATATAATACCTAGTTTTGGAATGTTTTTAATAACTTTTGAAAAAAATTTTATGATGGAACCAAAAAAATTATTATTTTTTTAGGTATCTCGAACATTCATCAGGAGCGGGTCTTGTGGTTTCGAGTAGTTCAAAGGATTGTTACTGCTCATTCGATAAAGCATTAAAAGATGTATATAATACCTAGTTTTGGAATGTTTTTAATAACTTTTGAAAAAAATTTTATGATGGATCCAAAAAAATTATTATTTTTTTAGGTATCTCGAACATTCAACAGGAGCGGGTCTTGTGGTATCGAATAGTTCAAAGGATTGTTATAGCTCATTCGATAAAGCATTAAAAGATGTATATAATACCTAGTTTTGGAATGTTTTTAATAACTTTTGGAAAAAATTTTATGATGGATCCAAAAAAATTATTATTTTTTTAGGTATCTCGAACATTCAACAGGAGCGTGTCTTGTGGTATCGAGTTGTTCAAAGGATTGTTGTAGCTCATTCGATAAAGCATTAAAAGATGTATATAATACCTACTTTTGGAATGTTTTGAATAACTTTTGAAAAAAATTTTATGATGGATCCAAAAAAATTATTATTTTTTTAGGTATCTCGAACAATCAACAGGAGCGTGTCTTGTGGTATCGAATAGTTCAAAGGATTGTTATAGCTCATTCGATAAAGCATTAAAAGATGTATATAATACCTAGTTTTGGAATGTTTTTAATAACTTTTGAAAAAAATTTTATGATGGATCCAAAAAAATTATTATTTTTTTAGGTATCTCGAACATTCAACAGGAGCGGGTCTTGTGGTTTCGAGTAGTTCAAAGGATTGTTGTAGCTCATTCGATAAAGCATTAAAAGATGTATATAATACCTAGTTTTGGAATGTTTTTAATAACTTTTGAAAAAAATTTTATGATGGATCCAAAAAAATTATTATTTTTTTAGGTATCTCGAACATTCAACAGGAGCGGGTCTTGTGGTTTCGAGTAGTTCAAAGGATTGTAGTAGCTCATTCGATAAAGCATTAAAAGATGTATATAATACCTAGTTTTGGAATGTTTTTAATAACTTTTGAAAAAAATTTTATGATGGATCCAAAAAAATTATTATTTTTTTAGGTATCTCGAACATTCAACAGGAGCGGGTCTTGTGGTTTCGAGTAGTTAAAAGGATTGTTGTATCTCATTCGATAAAGCATTAAAAGATGTATATAATACCTAGTTTTGGAATGTTTTTAATAACTTTTGGAAAAAATTTTATGATGGATCCAAAAAAATTATTATTTTTTAAGGTATCTCGAACATTCATCAGGAGCGGGTCTTGTGGTTTCGAGTAGTTCAAAGGATTGTTGTAGCTCATTCGATAAAGCATTAAAAGATGTATATAATACCTAGTTTTGGAATGTTTTTAATAACTTTTGAAAAAAATTTTATGATGGATCCAAAAAAATTATTATTTTTTTAGGTATCTCGAACATTCAACAGGAGCGGGTCTTGTGGTTTCGAGTAGTTAAAAGGATTGTTGTATCTCATTCGATAAAGCATTAAAAGATGTATATAATACCTAGTTTTGGAATGTTTTTAATAACTTTTGAAAAAAATTTTATGATGGATCCAAAAAAATTATTATTTTTTTTAGGTATCTCAAACATTCAACAGGAGCGGGTCTTGTGGTTTCGAGTAGTTCAAAGGATTGTTGTAGCTCATTCGATAAAGCATTAAAAGATGTATATAATACCTAGTTTTGGAATGTTTTTAATAACTTTTGGAAAAAATTTTATGATGGATCCAAAAAAATTATTATTTTTTTAGGTATCTCGAACATTCATCAGGAGCGGGTCTTGTGGTTTCGAGTAGTTCAAAGGATTGTAGTAGCTCATTCGATAAAGCATTAAAAGATGTATATAATACCTAGTTTTGGAATGTTTTTAATAACTTTTGAAAAAAATTTTATGATGGATCCAAAAAAATTATTATTTTTTTAGGTATCTCGAACATTCAACAGGAGCGGGTCTTGTGGTTTCGAGTAGTTCAAAGGATTGTTGTAGCTCATTCGATAAAGCATTAAAAGATGTATATAATACCTAGTTTTGGAATGTTTTTAATAACTTTTGGAAAAAATTTTATGATGGATCCAAAAAAATTATTATTTTTTAAGGTATCTCGAACATTCATCAGGAGCGGGTCTTGTGGTTTCGAGTAGTTCAAAGGATTGTTGTAGCTCATTCGATAAAGCATTAAAAGATGTATATAATACCTAGTTTTGGAATGTTTTTAATAACTTTTGGAAAAAATTTTATGATGGATCCAAAAAAATTATTATTTTTTTTAGGTATCTCAAACATTCAACAGGAGCGGGTCTTGTGGTTTCGAGTAGTTCAAAGGATTGTTGTAGCTCATTCGATAAAGCATTAAAAGATGTATATAATACCTAGTTTTGGAATGTTTTTAATAACTTTTGAAAAAAATTTTATGATGGATCCAAAAAAATTATTATTTTTTTAGGTATCTCGAACATTCAACAGGAGCGGGTCTTGTGGTTTCGAGTAGTTCAAAGGATTGTTGTAGCTCATTCGATAAAGCATTAAAAGATGTATATAATACCTAGTTTTGGAATGTTTTTAATAACTTTTGAAAAAAATTTTATGATGGATCCAAAAAATTATTATTTTTTTAGGTATCTCGAACATTCAACAGGAGCGGGTCTTGTGGTTTCGAGTAGTTCAAAGGATTGTTGTATCTCATTCGATAAAGCATTAAAAGATGTATATAATACCTAGTTTTGGAATGTTTTTAATAACTTTTGAAAAAAATTTTATGATGGATCCAAAAAAATTATTATTTTTTTAGGTATCTCGAACATTCAACAGGAGCGGGTCTTGTGGTTTCGAGTAGTTCAAAGGATTGTTGTAGCTCATTCGATAAAGCATTAAAAGATGTATATAATACCTAGTTTTGGAATGTTTTTAATAACTTTTGGAAAAAATTTTATGATGGATCCAAAAAAATTATTATTTTTTAAGGTATCTCGAACATTCATCAGGAGCGGGTCTTGTGGTTTCGAGTAGTTCAAAGGATTGTTGTAGCTCATTCGATAAAGCATTAAAAGATGTATATAATACCTAGTTTTGGAATGTTTTTAATAACTTTTGGAAAAAATTTTATGATGGATCCAAAAAAATTATTATTTTTTTAGGTATCTCGAACATTCATCAGGAGCGGGTCTTGTGGTTTCGAGTAGTTCAAAGGATTGTAGTAGCTCATTCGATAAAGCATTAAAAGATGTATATAATACCTAGTTTTGGAATGTTTTTAATAACTTTTGAAAAAAATTTTATGATGGATCCAAAAAAATTATTATTTTTTTAGGTATCTCGAACATTCAACAGGAGCGGGTCTTGTGGTTTCGAGTAGTTCAAAGGATTGTTGTAGCTCATTCGATAAAGCATTAAAAGATGTATATAATACCTAGTTTTGGAATGTTTTTAATAACTTTTGGAAAAAATTTTATGATGGATCCAAAAAAATTATTATTTTTTAAGGTATCTCGAACATTCATCAGGAGCGGGTCTTGTGGTTTCGAGTAGTTCAAAGGATTGTTGTAGCTCATTCGATAAAGCATTAAAAGATGTATATAATACCTAGTTTTGGAATGTTTTTAATAACTTTTGGAAAAAATTTTATGATGGATCCAAAAAAATTATTATTTTTTTAGGTATCTCGAACATTCAACAGGAGCGGGTCTTGTGGTTTCGAGTAGTTCAAAGGATTGTAGTAGCTCATTCGATAAAGCATTAAAAGATGTATATAATACCTAGTTTTGGAATGTTTTTAATAACTTTTGAAAAAAATTTTATGATGGATCCAAAAAAATTATTATTTTTTTAGGTATCTCGAACATTCAACAGGAGCGGGTCTTGTGGTTTCGAGTAGTTAAAAGGATTGTTGTATCTCATTCGATAAAGCATTAAAAGATGTATATAATACCTAGTTTTGGAATGTTTTTAATAACTTTTGAAAAAAATTTTATGATGGATCCAAAAAAATTATTATTTTTTTTTAGGTATCTCAAACATTCAACAGGAGCGGGTCTTGTGGTTTCGAGTAGTTCAAAGGATTGTTGTAGCTCATTCGATAAAGCATTAAAAGATGTATATAATACCTAGTTTTGGAATGTTTTTAATAACTTTTGAAAAAAATTTTATGATGGATCCAAAAAATTATTATTTTTTTAGGTATCTCGAACATTCAACAGGAGCGGGTCTTGTGGTTTCGAGTAGTTCAAAGGATTGTTGTATCTCATTCGATAAAGCATTAAAAGATGTATATAATACCTAGTTTTGGAATGTTTTTAATAACTTTTGAAAAAAATTTTATGATGGATCCAAAAAAATTATTATTTTTTTAGGTATCTCGAACATTCAACAGGAGCGGGTCTTGTGGTTTCGAGTAGTTCAATGGATTGTTGTAGCTCATTCGATAAAGCATTAAAAGATGTATATAATACCTAGTTTTGGAATGTTTTTAATAACTTTTGAAAAAAATTTTATGATGGATCCAAAAAAATTATATTTTTTAGGTATCTCGAACATTCAACAGGAGCGGGTCTTGTGGTTTCGAGTAGTTCAAAGGATTGATGTAGCTCATTCGATAAAGCATTAAAAGATGTATATAATACCTAGTTTTGGAATGTTTTTAATAACTTTTGGAAAAAATTTTATGATGGATCCAAAAAAATTATTATTTTTTAAGGTATCTCGAACATTCATCAGGAGCGGGTCTTGTGGTTTCGAGTAGTTCAAAGGATTGTTGTAGCTCATTCGATAAAGCATTAAAAGATGTATATAATACCTAGTTTTGGAATGTTTTTAATAACTTTTGGAAAAAATTTTATGATGGATCCAAAAAAATTATTATTTTTTTAGGTATCTCGAACATTCAACAGGAGCGGGTCTTGTGGTTTCGAGTAGTTCAAAGGATTGTAGTAGCTCATTCGATAAAGCATTAAATGATGTATATAATACCTAGTTTTGGAATGTTTTTAATAACTTTTGAAAAAAATTTTATGATGGATCCAAAAAAATTATTATTTTTTTAGGTATCTCGAACATTCAACAGGAGCGGGTCTTGTGGTTTCGAGTAGTTAAAAGGATTGTTGTATCTCATTCGATAAAGCATTAAAAGATGTATATAATACCTAGTTTTGGAATGTTTTTAATAACTTTTGAAAAAAATTTTATGATGGATCCAAAAAAATTATTATTTTTTTAGGTATCTCGAACATTCAACAGGAGCGGGTCTTGTGGTTTCGAGTAGTTCAAAGGATTGTTGTAGCTCATTCGATAAAGCATTAAAAGATGTATATAATACCTAGTTTTGGAATGTTTTTAATAACTTTTGGAAAAAATTTTATGATGGATCCAAAAAAATTATTATTTTTTAAGGTATCTCGAACATTCATCAGGAGCGGGTCTTGTGGTTTCGAGTAGTTCAAAGGATTGTTGTAGCTCATTCGATAAAGCATTAAAAGATGTATATAATACCTAGTTTTGGAATGTTTTTAATAACTTTTGGAAAAAATTTTATGATGGATCCAAAAAAATTATTATTTTTTTAGGTATCTCGAACATTCATCAGGAGCGGGTCTTGTGGTTTCGAGTAGTTCAAAGGATTGTTGTAGCTCATTCGATAAAGCATTAAAAGATGTATATAATACCTAGTTTTGGAACGTTTTTAATAACTTTGGAAAAAAATTTTATGATGGATCCAAAAAATTATTATTTTTTAGGTATCTCGAACATTCAACAGGAGCGGGTCTTGTGGTTTCGAGTAGTTCAAAGGATTGTTGTAGCTCATTCGATAAAGCATTAAAAGATGTATATAATACCTAGTTTTGGAATGTTTTTAATAACTTTTGAAAAAAATTTTATGATGGATCCAAAAAAATTATTATTTTTTTAGGTATCTCGAACATTCAACAGGAGCGGGTCTTGTGGTTTCGAGTAGTTCAAAGGATTGTTGTAGCTCATTCGATAAAGCACTAAAAGATGTATATAATACCTAGTTTTGGAATGTTTTTAATAACTTTTGAAAAAATTTTATGATGGATCCAAAAAAATTATTATTTTTTTTAGGTATCTCAAACATTCAACAGGAGCGGGTCTTGTGGTTTCGAGTAGTTCAAAGGATTGTTGTAGCTCATTCGATAAAGCATTAAAAGATGTATATAATACCTAGTTTTGGAATGTTTTTAATAACTTTTGAAAAAAATTTTATGATGGATCCAAAAAATTATTATTTTTTTAGGTATCTCGAACATTCAACAGGAGCGGGTCTTGTGGTTTCGAGTAGTTCAAAGGATTGTTGTATCTCATTCGATAAAGCATTAAAAGATGTATATAATACCTAGTTTTGGAATGTTTTTAATAACTTTTGAAAAAAATTTTATGATGGATCCAAAAAAATTATTATTTTTTTAGGTATCTCGAACATTCAACAGGAGCGGGTCTTGTGGTTTCGAGTAGTTCAAAGGATTGTTGTAGCTCATTCGATAAAGCATTAAAAGATGTATATAATACCTAGTTTTGGAATGTTTTTAATAACTTTTGGAAAAAATTTTATGATGGATCCAAAAAAATTATTATTTTTTAAGGTATCTCGAACATTCATCAGGAGCGGGTCTTGTGGTTTCGAGTAGTTCAAAGGATTGTTGTAGCTCATTCGATAAAGCATTAAAAGATGTATATAATACCTAGTTTTGGAATGTTTTTAATAACTTTTGGAAAAAATTTTATGATGGATCCAAAAAAATTATTATTTTTTTAGGTATCTCGAACATTCATCAGGAGCGGGTCTTGTGGTTTCGAGTAGTTCAAAGGATTGTTGTAGCTCATTCGATAAAGCATTAAAAGATGTATATAATACCTAGTTTTGGAACGTTTTTAATAACTTTGGAAAAAAATTTTATGATGGATCCAAAAAATTATTATTTTTTAGGTATCTCGAACATTCAACAGGAGCGGGTCTTGTGGTTTCGAGTAGTTCAAAGGATTGTTGTAGCTCATTCGATAAAGCATTAAAAGATGTATATAATACCTAGTTTTGGAATGTTTTTAATAACTTTTGAAAAAAATTTTATGATGGATCCAAAAAAATTATTATTTTTTTAGGTATCTCGAACATTCAACAGGAGCGGGTCTTGTGGTTTCGAGTAGTTCAAAGGATTGTTGTAGCTCATTCGATAAAGCATTAAAAGATGTATATAATACCTAGTTTTGGAATGTTTTTAATAACTTTTGAAAAAAATTTTATGATGGATCCAAAAAATTATTATTTTTTAGGTATCTCGAACATTCAACAGGAGCGGGTCTTGTGGTTTCGAGTAGTTCAAAGGATTGTTGTAGCTCATTCGATAAAGCATTAAAAGATGTATATAATACCTAGTTTTGGAATGTTTTTAATAACTTTTGAAAAAAATTTTATGATGGATCCAAAAAAATTATTATTTTTTTAGGTATCTCGAACATTCAACAGGAGCGGGTCTTGTGGTTTCGAGTAGTTCAAAGGATTGTTGTAGCTCATTCGATAAAGCACTAAAAGATGTATATAATACCTAGTTTTGGAATGTTTTTAATAACTTTTGAAAAAAATTTTATGATGGATCCAAAAAAATTATTATTTTTTTTAGGTATCTCAAACATTCAACAGGAGCGGGTCTTGTGGTTTCGAGTAGTTCAAAGGATTGTTGTAGCTCATTCGATAAAGCATTAAAAGATGTATATAATACCTAGTTTTGGAATGTTTTTAATAACTTTTGAAAAAAATTTTATGATGGATCCAAAAAATTATTATTTTTTTAGGTATCTCGAACATTCAACAGGAGCGGGTCTTGTGGTTTCGAGTAGTTCAAAGGATTGTTGTATCTCATTCGATAAAGCATTAAAAGATGTATATAATACCTAGTTTTGGAATGTTTTTAATAACTTTTGAAAAAAATTTTATGATGGATCCAAAAAAATTATTATTTTTTTAGGTATCTCGAACATTCAACAGGAGCGGGTCTTGTGGTTTCGAGTAGTTCAAAGGATTGTTGTAGCTCATTCGATAAAGCATTAAAAGATGTATATAATACCTAGTTTTGGAATGTTTTTAATAACTTTTGGAAAAAATTTTATGATGGATCCAAAAAAATTATTATTTTTTAAGGTATCTCGAACATTCATCAGGAGCGGGTCTTGTGGTTTCGAGTAGTTCAAAGGATTGTTGTAGCTCATTCGATAAAGCATTAAAAGATGTATATAATACCTAGTTTTGGAATGTTTTTAATAACTTTTGGAAAAAATTTTATGATGGATCCAAAAAAATTATTATTTTTTTAGGTATCTCGAACATTCATCAGGAGCGGGTCTTGTGGTTTCGAGTAGTTCAAAAGATTGTTGTAGCTCATTCGATAAAGCATTAAAAGATGTATATAATACCTAGTTTTGGAACGTTTTTAATAACTTTGGAAAAAAATTTTATGATGGATCCAAAAAATTATTATTTTTTAGGTATCTCGAACATTCAACAGGAGCGGGTCTTGTGGTTTCGAGTATTTCAAAGGATTGTTGTAGCTCATTCGATAAAGCATTAAAAGATGTATATAATACCTAGTTTTGGAATGTTTTTAATAACTTTTGAAAAAAATTTTATGATGGATCCAAAAAAATTATTATTTTTTTAGGTATCTCGAACATTCAACAGGAGCGGGTCTTGTGGTTTCGAGTAGTTCAAAGGATTGTTGTAGCTCATTCGATAAAGCATTAAAAGATGTATATAATACCTAGTTTTGGAATGTTTTTAATAACTTTTGGAAAAAATTTTATGATGGATCCAAAAAATTATTATTTTTTTAGGTATCTCGAACATTCAACAGGAGCGGGTCTTGTGTTTTCGAGTAGTTCAAAGGATTGTTGTATCTCATTCGATAAAGCATTAAAAGATGTATATAATACCTAGTTTTGGAATGTTTTTAATAACTTTTGAAAAAAATTTTATGATGGATCCAAAAAAATTATTATTTTTTTTAGGTATCTCGAACATTCATCAGGAGCGGGTCTTGTGGTTTCGATTAGTTCAAAGGATTGTTGTATCTCATTCGATAAAGCATTAAAAGATTTATATAATACCTAGTTTTGGAATGTTTTTAATAACTTTTGGAAAAAATTTTATGATGGATCCAAAAAAATTATTATTTTTTTAGATATCTCGAACATTCAACAGGAGCGGGTCTTGTGGTTTCGAGTAGTTCAAAGGATTGTTGTAGCTCATTCGATAAAGCATTAAAAGATGTATATAATACCTAGTTTTGGAATGTTTTTAATAACTTTTGAAAAAAATTTTATGATGGATCCAAAAAAATTATTTTTTTAGGTATCTCGAACATTCAACAGGAGCGGGTCTTGTGGTTTCGAGTAGTTCAAAGGATTGTTGTAGCTCATTCGATAAAGCATTAAAAGTTGTATATAATACCTAGTTTTGGAATGTTTTTAATAACTTTTGGAAAAAATTTTATGATGGATCCAAAAAAATTATTATTTTTTTTAGGTATCTCGAGCATTCAACAGGAGCGGGTCTTGTGGTTTCGAGTAGTTCAATGGATTGTAGTAGCTCATTCGATAGAGCATTAAAAGAGGTATATAATACCTTGTTTTGGAATGTTTTTAATAACTTTTGAAAAAAATTTTATGATGGATCCAAAAAAATTATTATTTTTTTAGGTATCTCGAACATTCAACAGGAGCGGGTCTTGTGGTTTCGAGTAGTTCAAAGGATTGTTTTAGCTCATTCGATAAAGCATTAAAAGTTGTATATAATACCTAGTTTTGGAATGTTTTTAATAACTTTTGAAAAAAATTTTATGATGGATCCAAACAAATTATTATTTTTTTAGGTATCTCGAACATTCATCAGGAGCGGGTCTTGTGGTTTCGATTAGTTCAAAGGATTGTTGTATCTCATTCGATAAAGCATTAAAAGATTTATATAATACCTAGTTTTGGAATGTTTTTAATAACTTTTGAAAAAAATTTTATGATGGATCCAAAAAAATTATTATTTTTTTAGGTATCTCGAACATTCAACAGGAGCGGGTCTTGTGGTTTCGAGTAGTTCAAAGGATTGTTTTAGCTCATTCGATAAAGCATTAAAAGATGTATATAAAACCTTGTTTTGGAATGTTTTTAATAACTTTTGAAAAAAATTTTATGATGGATCCATAAAAATTATTATTTTTTTAGGTATCTCGAACATTCAACAGGAGCGGGTCTTGTGGTTTCGAGTAGTTCAAAGGATTGTTATCGCTCATTCGATAAAGCATTAAAAGATGTATATAATACCTAGTTTTGGAATGTTTTTAATAACTTTTGAAAAAAATTTTATGATGGATCCAAAAAAATTATTATTTTTTTAGGTATCTCGAACATTCATCAGGAGCGGGTCTTGTGGTTTCGAGTAGTTCAATGGATTGTTGTAGCTCATTCGATAAAGCATTAAAAGATGTATATAATACCTAGTTTTGGAATGTTTTTAATAACTTTTGAAAAAAATTTTATGATGGATCCAAAAAAATTATTATTTTTTTAGGTATCTCGAACATTCAACAGGAGCGGGTCTTGTGGTTTCGAGTAGTTCAATGGATTGTTAGCTCATTCGATAAAGCATTATAAGATGTATATAATACCTAGTTTTGGAATGTTTTTAATAACTTTTGAAAAAAATTTTATGATGGATCCAAAAAAATTATTATTTTTTTAGGTATCTCGAACATTCAACAGGAGCGGGTCTTGTGGTTTCGAGTAGTTCAATGGATTGTTACTGCTCATTCGATAAAGCATTAAAAGATGTATATAATACCTAGTTTTGGAATGTTTTTAATAACTTTTGAAAAAAATTTTATGATGGATCCAAAAAAATTATTATTTTTTTAGGTATCTCGAACATTCATCAGGAGCGGGTCTTGTGGTTTCGAGTAGTTCAAAGGATTGTTACTGCTCATTCGATAAAGCATTAAAAGATGTATATAATACCTAGTTTTGGAATGTTTTTAATAACTTTTGAAAAAAATTTTATGATGGATCCAAAAAAATTATTATTTTTTTAGGTATCTCGAACATTCAACAGGAGCGGGTCTTGTGGTTTCGAGTAGTTCAATGGATTGTTGTAGCTCATTCGATAAAGCATTAAAAGATGTATATAATACCTAGTTTTGGAATGTTTTTAATAACTTTTGAAAAAAATTTTATGATGGATCCAAAAAAATTATTATTTTTTTAGGTATCTCGAACATTCATCAGGAGCGGGTCTTGTGGTTTCGAGTAGTTCAATGGATTGTTGTAGCTCATTCGATAAAGCATTAAAAGATGTATATAATACCTAGTTTTGGAATGTTTTTAATAACTTTTGAAAAAAATTTTATGATGGATCCAAAAAAATTATTATTTTTTTAGGTATCTCGAACATTCAACAGGAGCGGGTCTTGTGGTTTCGAGTAGTTCAAAGGATTGTTGTATCTCATTCGATAAAGCATTAAAAGATGTATATAATACCTAGTTTTGGAATGTTTTTAATAACTTTTGAAAAAAATTTTATGATGGATCCAAAAAAATTATTATTTTTTTAGGTATCTCGAACATTCAACAGGAGCGGGTCTTGTGGTTTCGAGTAGTTCAAAGGATTGTTGTAGCTCATTCGATAAAGCATTAAAAGATGTATATAATACCTAGTTTTGGAATGTTTTTAATAACTTTTGGAAAAAATTTTATGATGGATCCAAAAAAATTATTATTTTTTAAGGTATCTCGAACATTCATCAGGAGCGGGTCTTGTGGTTTCGAGTAGTTCAAAGGATTGTTGTAGCTCATTCGATAAAGCATTAAAAGATGTATATAA